GACCTACATGTGAAAGTCGCAAGACGCGTCCGTCAGCCATGTGTTATATGAATGTACAATCGATAAGGTTATATATGTTTGTGTGCTAAGTATCGCGATTGTAAAGTATTACCCTTGTAACAGAGTCGATTACAGAAAAAAAAAATTCGCGACCGCCCAAAATATTTAAATATATACGACACATCATTGTGAGTTTGACTACTACGCTAAAGTAAACAGGAATGATTTAGGTAAAATATATGTGTGAGAAACAATAAACAAAAAATTGCTACCAAGGAATCGAGTTATAACAATTATAATAACCGTAGAGGACAGACCAATTACTGGGAACACGTGAAACAGACCCCCCCCCCCTCCCCACCCACCCACGGACAGAGGGATGCAGTGGCTCGGTCAGAGATTGAACTTTAACCCCGCGGGGCTGAGGTGCCTGTTGAGTGGGAAGCGGACGGCAGAGAGGGCCCCGTTAACGAGGCGAGATGAAGGACTTGCCGCTCTGTGCAGCAAAGCCAAAGTGTCCATTTAGACAATCCTCCCAGGGTAGAGTACGGATTTTAACTCCACGTCAGTCAAACTCTGCTCTGGTTAAGGCCCATTGCCCAAAACGTCAGCCTGTTATATTTGTTTTCCGCTGCAAGGCAGTGTTTCAATGACCGACGTAGCGAGTTTGTGTTGAGTTCGACCTTTGCAGCACCACCACTTTCAATTTCTATTCGCTCAACAAATGCCCCAATTGTTTGAATTGCAGTAACCCAGAGAATCTCCATTAACTTGGTAGTCATTAGACTTTCATCACTACCACCACCAATATGACACAAACCTTCATGCTGGGTCACTGCTATTGTAACATAGCTATTTTCAATTTGCAAAACTTTACTTGTAAAAAAAAATCCCAATTCCACACGGGGCTGCGAGCTGGCCAGCAGATGGCCTGACAGCAAGCGGTTCACAAGCCCCATCTGGACTATCCCCTTGCTTGAATCGGCTTCCTCCGAGTTGCCGTGTTTCCTCCTACACGAAGCCAAACTCTCAACTACACACAAGATTGAGAAAGAGTAATTGGTGAAATATCCCAGTGCAGCAGGTCCCTCCTTGGCACGGAGTGTTGATACTTGGCGGAGCTAATCCCGCGTAAATACACCACATCGGTATCATCATTGAAATACTTTCCTTGGAACGGGGTCCCCATCAGCGAAATCGAATTTCCACCGCTCTAAGGAACTGATTCCAATCAAATGGAATGACAACCGCTTTAGCCGGTCTCGATCAAAGTGAATGGAGATTAATTATATCATGGAAGGGGGGGGGGGGGGAGGCTGAACTGTGATGCAGTTGACGCTGTTGTAATGATTTTAATATATTAAATAAACTAGTGTTCTTCACTGGCGGCCCGTCGTGGCCTATAGTGCGGCCCCTGACAATACACAAAATGTGAAAACAATCCCCATCATCATCATCATCGCCGTGCTGCTGTCAAACACCAAATGGTTTCAAATGTGTGGAGGCCCTCACACTGCTGAAGTCTTATTGGCGAAAGTGCCCCCCCCCCACCCCGCCCTCTGAATATTAGTGAAGAACACTGAAATAAACCTTCGCATCCTCCCTTTGCCTCGTGCCGCACGGGGGAGACACGGGTACGACACGCAAGCGACCCCAGGAAGGGTCAAGACTTTGCGGGGTATTACGGGAGCTCTGCCCGACATTGATAATAATAATACTCCTCTGCGCTACGGTCCCTTTAGCTTTGGCAATAATAAAAATAAAATACAGGCTGGAACCTGACAGACCAGCCGTGTGTAACTTACATTATTTAGTTCAAGCGACACCAACATAAAACACGATTGTTCAAATACCCTATCAAGCGAAAATGAGCTGCACATCGTCATTATAATTACAATAAAATAATACCGAGGGCGATCCACGAATATATTCTCTCCCCCCACTGAAACAAAGGGAGCCATGAATGGAGCAAAACGTCGGGTCACAGCCTCCACGCACCTGCCACCAACCCCAACACAGTACGGCCAGTTGACACCTCACTAACACTCGCTCCTTTCTGAGGACATGGAGCCATCGCTTTACCACGTTTCTGCCTCCTGCTGAGAGATGCTGAGACCCAGTCGAGATCCGTGGAGGGCGTGTCTGCGCGTGGATCACCCTGCGTGTGTATGTATCTGGATGTTTTGTGTTGACATCCCTAAACATCTGCGATAGGGTACGCCTGGCCCCTCACATATTGGTGCGACCTTTGAACTTAGCCCCTCTGCTCAGGCCTCGCATGCTGCCATCGTAGTTTAATTTGGGGACGTGAGAGTCATTGATGGGATCCCCAATAAAACAAAAATCTAAACTGTCCATCCGCCGCGAATGTGGCCAATACTCAATCTGGAGTCCGATCCGCCTTCAGAACTCCACAGAGGCTCCCCCCTCCCCCCCTCCCCCCCTAAATTAGAGTATGTGGTACATACTCAGTTCCTGAAGCAGCTCCTAGGACGCGGAGCAAAACGTCGGACGTCATTCCGAAACAACGCGGCATGACCCCGAACCAACATCAAGCGCGTTCTCCACCCTGCAGAAACAAGACCATCTCCCATCCCATGCGCAGCGCTGATCACCTTCAATGTGGCAATGGCTGTGCGGGTTAATACGTCGCGAACGCACTTGTGGGTTAGTTAATTCAGAGCTGGGTAATAAAGTCCACGGTTTATAGAGAGCAGGCACCGACCCACCCACGTTAAATGGTGTTAAATGTTGCACAACGGGCGCAATGCAATTGGCGATGAAAGATCGAGCGCGTTGTGCACAGAAGCGACGAGCTCTGAACAAACGAATACGACTCGTACAATAATAGGCAAACGGATAAAATATATATATATAAACAAGTAATGCTTTTATATATATACACTTAAAACGTAATGGTAATAAAATGACGCAGCGTGATCGTGTATATTTTTCGGAATAACCGCCCCCCCCCCTCCCACGAAAAAGAAAACATTTATAAAATATATATAAAAAAAGAAAACGTGAAGTAACATCATTACACGTGTTAAAAAGGGCAGCGAAATAAAATCCACTGTCGCCCGTCCCGACTTGTAGTTGTTGCAGTTGTTGTTGTTTGCCACAGACGGTCAGGCATCGTCAGTGCCACGCGGGCCGGCACAGGCTGAGAGATTTAAACAATAGCCGGGTGATGACGTGGGACTGCTGGAAGGGGAGAGAGGTTAGTCGTCCCAGGACGTTCGGGGCGACTGTTTCTTTTGTTGTTGTTGCTGCTGCTGCTGGAAGCCAAATCGTGGCTCCCAGGATATTTCCCCGATCCAGCGACACCGTGGACAGGCGAAACGCACGCGTCGGCTGAGTAGCCGCTGGTCTCGGGGGGGCGGTGAAGGAAATAATAAAGACGGTGCCCTGGCACCATCGGCTCCGTGAACACAGCTCAAGAGCATTCGAGTCTCCCAATAAATTCCAAACCTCGGGGGATGGAGTGGGAAGAGGCAGTGGAGGGTGGTGGTGGAGGGGGGGGGGGAATTGGACTGATCACGACCCCCGACACCTCGACACCGCTCATCGCATCTCCAACGGAAAGTTTAAAGAGTCCCTCCAGGTGGGTTCCAACCACCGGGTTCGCTCCTCCCATCACCTCCATTCCTCTTCCTCCACCCCACTGCCGCCGCCGCCTCCGCCGCTGCTCCTCGACCCCTTGCGGGGGCAGCGTCGAACGCGCCGCTCCACACAGCGCGTCTCCAGCTCAGCCGCAGAATGCGATCAGCAGACGCACGCCTCCTCTACTTGGCTATGAGCCACGGCGTCTCGCCCTTGAAGGAGCGGCAAAACGTCAACGTTCGCTCACGATGCCCCCCACGCACGCACCCCGCCCCCGGCCTTCACCTCCTCCGCAACCTCGAACTCGCACCGTGCACAATCGGGCCACGTGGCAGCTCGTGCCGCCCCCCCCATCGCCCATGTGGGTTCGTGCGATTGTCACGTGGGGCAGTGTCCACGTGGCCCAGGTGTCTCTCCCTCTCGTCACCGTGACTTTGAATGTCGGGGGTGCAGTGCGAGTGGAACGATTAATGACGGGAAATTAGAACGGTGACGGACACAGCACTGCACGCGTTAGGCCATGAGGTTTTCGATAATTCAGTTGTTCCACCACCATGGCCACCACCACCTCGTCCTCCTATATTCACCCCGAGCCATCCAGGATTTTGCTGGTTGCACACTGCGACGGTGCAGTCTCCTCCGTGTTAATTATTTTAGGACACCGCAAGGAATTCGCTGAATCTATATATTTTACAAGAAACGATACATTTACGCGTCATTAAATTCAAACCGAGCAGGTAACTCACAATTTGAAATTACTCCACTTAATAAAATGTCAAATCACTTCTCTCCTCTATTCTGAATGTATTTTATAAATGTGAGTCGGATCTGTATTTTGTTTTAAAGATTGTCACCGTTAAATAATTGTTTTACTCGAACGAATAATTGATTGAGAGAAGCGTAAAAACTGAAAACCCTGTGAATTTTCGTCCAATGTGGAGACTTTTTTCCTTCAGATTTGATCGACTTTACGTTATCAGCACGTTAGTTAATTGGAAGACCATGGCAAGTAAACGAGACATTTGTCTGAGGCCCGGGAGAGGTGGAGAGGAGATGGTGGGGATGGGCGCGGGAACCGAAGATTTGAAAACCACGCCGTGTTACACACACCATCATGCGAACAATAACCACTGTCCCATATCACATGTACAGCCCAGATGTGAAGCAAATGGGCTTTGTACGAATTTACGGGGGAGTGGGTCAAAAATATATTTGTTCTGCAGGTTGGTTTTAGTGGGCTCTTTGGACTATAACATGTTGAAAGGCACCTTTCCCCCCCTCTATCCTGTGTCCGCATGGATTTCTAAAAAATGCAGGCACTTTTCAGGATCAATTTGAGAAGGCCAGTTTCACTGTTGTGGGTTTTAAGTGTTTTCTCTGTTCTCAGAGGAGACATGCTGTGATCTTCACAGGCTGCAGTGGCGCCTGACAACACGCCTCATCTCCAACAATACCGCACGAACAAGCAAAGTACAACCCATGCCACCGAAAACCATCGTATACCATTGAAATTGCTCCCATGTTTAATTCATAATACTGCGCGGATGAAACGCGGTTGTCGTGTGCGGAGTGATCCACGGTTTCAAAATATACGACGGGATAAAAGCCACTTTTCTTTTAAATTGCCGTTCATGCCAGTCTCAAATTTTGTTTTTGTACACAACCGGCGTTAGAGATTCTCGATTGCTGCCAGGGATTATTGAGGGGTTTCAATTTGGAATTACATTGCTTCCAGCCAAGGTGGTTGTGCAAGATATTGTAAATTACGAGTGTAAGACGCATATCTTGAAATGGTTCAAGCAAATATCACGCTTCCTTTCTATCCTGTGTTTGCGGGCATTCGGGCATTTGTGCATGGCTGGGAGAAGGCGATGAGACGTGAGTGGGCTGTGTTTGTCTGTTGTGTTTGTGAGCGTCGCGTGAGCGCGGTGGTGGCCGTGTTTATGGGGAGCTGTGGTGCGACTGGTTAGCGTGCTCTGCTACGGACCCCGGCCACCCGAGTTCGATTCCCACTCACGGTCAACGTCAGTGACGATTATCAAAGTCGACTCGGCATTTAGTGAGTATCTGGTGTGATGTGTAAACATCGCCACTGGGGAGACAAAGGCGGCCGAAGGTGGTTCTGGCCACCCACCCCATCGTGTGCCGTTCTAGCCTTTAGAGGTGCTCGCTAACAGCACTTTCTCCAAAAGTCTGTCAAGGGTACACGGGGGATCTGTCGTTACGAGTGCGGTGGCTGTGTTTGTGAGTAGTTGCTGTTAACAGCTGCCATGCTATGGACGGTGATCATTAATAAAAACATGGAGCTGCCATGATCCTGGAATGTAAAACTCTCTGTTCTACTAGAACAAGGTCTAGGAATTGCTTGAACCACCCTCGCATGTGGCTGATAACATCAGTGAAATATTGAGCTTCTATTCCAAATTAGAGGTGGGCTCCCATCTTGGACTATCTCGGACTGTGCCAGGAGGCTGTTTGGTGCTGTGGAAGCTCGTGTCACGTGATCAGCTTCTGCGTGGGGAGCTTTAATAGGTGCACAGATTACGAAAGGGATGGAACGATTCACCATCTCCTCAACCCCGTGGAGATTCGATTAATTATTGTGATGCGGGGTTCCGAAATGAATGAAAGAATGAATTCATTTTTGTAACATTGTGGCGAATGTCAGCAGCCTTCATGTGGCCGCACGATTTACGTGACCCAATTACATGCGTCATTCTTTATGAAGTAGAGACCTTTGTCAATCCACTGCTGGATGAAGGCCTCCCCACGTCGTGTCGGTCGTAGGAGTTCACCGTGTTGGTCAACGCGCGTTGGTGCAGGAATAGTTCAGATGTGGTCACTTGCCACCCATGTTGGCCGAGCCCAGGAATGGAACTCGGTCGCAGGGTTTAGAGCGCGGTGCCTTAGCCGCTGCGCCATTGCTACCCCCCCCCCCCCCCCAATGACATTTACGAATCTAAAACAACAACAATAGATTCTTACACGTGGCACGAGCTTAAAATCAGTGATTCATCGATGAATGGATGTGTCTCGTTCCACCCTCGGTTAATAAGTTCCATGCAGCGATGATCACAGCTATATTCTTCGAAATCTTTGTTCTTCACTAGGGGGGGGGGTCACTTTCGCCGATATGACATCAGTGTGAGAGCCGCCACGCATTCGAAACCATTGGGGTTTGACAGCAGCACGATGATGATGATGATGGGGGGTGTTGTCAAGTGTCGTGTATTGTCGGGGTCCGCATGCCAGGAGCCGGCACTAAAGGCCACCAGGGGCCGCCCGTGGCCCCCGGGCCTTGCAATGAAGAGCGACGCTCCAAACGAATGTGTTTTTAGATCAATGGGAAGCATAAAACATGGGATCACGGCGGTGTATTATCCACAACAACAAACAATTGCCGGCGCTTATAAAAACCGTCTTAAAAACACAACACAAAGCAGGATGCATTATCTGATAGCTTTTTTTTTGTTTAAAAAATAAAACACGAAAATGTTAAAGACAATTGGCGTGATTTATGACAACCGCCGCACGCGACGTATAAAAAACACACACACACGGGCAATATTAAATCACACACGGCGCAGCAGCAATCTGTTAATATTTGCATATGAACTCACGCAGCAACCACAAACCGAATAACCGCCACGGCGCTCAATGTGAGAGGGCCGCTATATTTGACTGCCATGAAGCCCAGGGGAGAGAGAGAGAGACGGAGGGAAGGAGAGACTGTGTCCGATTTTAAAATTGATCGTAGATTTTCGGCTACCTGCAGTGGCATTTTGAGTGGTCTAGAAGAGGTATTTTCTTGGGTGTCCACTTAAAAAGTAGGTTAACTTAATATCCACTTGAATCATCATTCAATTTTAGGTCGTTGTGAATTCAACGCTGAGTAAGGACCCTCGCCACAAGCCATGTCGGTCATGGGGATTGTTTGCCCATACTTCACCATACTGGACCGCGTGGGTTGGTGAAAGGGGTTGGGGGGCACTCAGGACCGGTTCAGATATCTCACCACTGATGTTAGCCGTGGCCGGAATGAGCAACACGTACAAAGTGTAAAGGTTGATAGGAAACCCAGCGACTGTCACCGTTATCGTTCTAAATTTACCCACTTATGATCCAAATTGGAAACGCGATGCCGTTAAGAAATTGACACTCGTGCCAATCAGTGCAACGCCTGAAGAGGACGTCACAGATCGACTTCTGGAGTCATTTCGAAAGCCGACTTTGTCCACACCCAAGGGGGTGGGGGTGGGGGGGGGGGCGCGTGGAAACCCAACGCTAATTAGTAAAATATCCTGTCCACTGCCACTTCTCCATCACATTCACGTTCCAGTTACTCCCGTTGAATAAATTATTTGCAAGCGACGACCGCGTGGGTGGGTTCATTCTCCTGCCTGGGTCTCATGGCAGCCAAGGTACGCAGCCCCGGATTGTCCCAAAACTCTCTTGACGGCCGCCACTTATCAACACGCAGCGCGGTAAACGTGACACGTGGAGCCGAGGCGCTCCCTCCCTCCCCCGTCGTGTATACGTCAGGAAGCAGAGCTTGCTGAACCCCCGCTCGTGATTACGATCCCCACTGGCTGCAGGTTGCCGCTGCTCGTGGTCAGTGGGTACAGCACTGTTCTTCAAATGGGGGGGGGGGGGGGGGGCACGGGCACTTTCGCCGATAAGAAGACATCGTCAGTGTGAGGGCCGCCACACATTTGAAACCATTGAGGGTTTGACAGCGGCACGATGATGATGGGGTCCGGACGTAAGGGGCCGCACTAAAGCCCACCAGGGGCCCGCCAGTCGCCCGCGGGCCTCGCAATGAAGAACACCGCGGTAGAGGCACGCTGACTGGCTGGCTGGCAGTGCAAGAGAGCCATGCATAGGAGAGCATTGCTTGGAAGAGCGCCTCCAAGACCAGGGCAGCCACGCGCGGTAGCTACGTGCCCGCAGCACTAACACGATTGGACCCACACTAAGATATTCTTTGCGAGCTTAACAACCCATTTTTAAAAAAATCTGCGAATGTAATACCTGTAATTTACGATGAACGTTAATAAATTCATTACAATTATTATTATTATGAGAACACTGACATAACCACACTGCCAAACCCTTTGCGAGCTTAACAACCGATTTTTTTGTGTTAAATCTGCAAATGTAATTTCTGTAATTTACGATGAATATTAAGAAATTCATTACAATTATTATTATGAGAAGACTGACATCTGTAACGCAGCGCTACAGATTTTCACCGCTGTACCCACTGACCGATCACACGCGGCGCGGTGGCCGCTGATACGAGCACATCGTTTTATTTTGGCGCGCTTCGGGGAATGTTCGTAGGTTTCATCGCAGCCTTCCGCTGCTCGGATCGGACAAGCAAACCTCGCAACTTCAACAAGGCAGCTCGGCTCGTGGGATAGAAGGTCGGTTGGTCCACACCACCAGCCGTATTTGGAACGATGTAAAAAAAAAAAATCTAGAAATGCTTAATTATCCACGGAATGTAGCACGGAATGTTCGTGAACGAAGAGAACAATTCGGAAGGCCGGGTACCTTTTAAAATCGAAGCGCGCTTATTCTGTTTTAATTAAGCGAATAGTCACGCCCATCATGAATAAGTTAGCGTGAATGCAGAACGGAGATGTTGAAATTCTCCCCCCCCAAACCCCGCCCCCCATGGCTTTCTTAGAGGCAAGCAATTTGTTACCGTAGCAACGTACATAACACTTGTGTGGTCATAGCCATAAATTATTATGCTCATGCCTTATTACGAACCGTGTATAAACGAAATCAACGTGTAAAAAAAACGGTTTAGTGTAAAAAAAACAAACCCAACAGATCTAAACAACATCATCATCATCATAAAAAAAACAACTTTACAAAAAAGCGACGTTTGATACAAAATATAGTATTTATATCTTATATACAACAGCAGCCCCATGCTGAGGGTTAGGCAGACCATCACTGCAAAAAACACACGAACACACACACGCGGGCAGTTAGTAGTGCGGGAGCCCGGTGGGGAACACGCGGTAACACACACACACACACACGGGCGCAAAGAAGCTCCGTAAATCGCTCGCTGACCCTTATCTCGGACAGGTGAGGAGAGCCGCCCAACGAGGCTACATTTTGAGATTGACAAGGCGAAGTCAAAGTGATCCCCGGCTCAAATGAGCGTCGAGGCAGTGCTCACCTCCCGTTTTCCGGCCCGAGTCGTTGAGAAATGCCCCATTCAAGTGATCGGGGCCGAGTCTAGCCAGTGGACAACCATTGTTGTTGACGAGCTCACAACGCAGTACCTATTTTTATCGACCCCCCCACCCCGAGGTGGGATGATGGGCTGAGCCAACCAGGAATTTCAACTCACAAACTTCCGATTGTGAGCCGATTGTGGATATCCCTGATGATTTAATTATTGGGGAAAGCCTCACCGAGTCTCAAGACACTTTTTTTTAAATCAAGGAGAATCCTGCATTGGGATGTTTGGCTAATTCCACTTATGAGCGCTCTTACGCGCGCGTGTGTGGGAAGACGCCGCAGTACTTTAAGCACCCAGAGAAAACCCAGACACACGACAAAAGTGTTTGAGCGAGGGAGCGGTCATATGTATGGCAAGTGGAAACATCCCACATGAATACAACAGGGGCTGATCAGCCTGCAGTGCGAGCACCGATTAGCGATACCATACCCACATTTATGTAACGTCCCTGCCATTGGAATGTCGAATTTCCACCACTGGCTCAGGTCCATGAATTGCGATGAGCAACACCCAATGCTTATTTGAGAGCAGGGACGCGCACACTTTGACTCGCCTTGATCTTCCGCGTTCAAATACAGCGCTGTGACTTAACGTCTCACCTGGCCTCTGATAAGGCATTCGATTGATCTGTTACTTGCGAGGCAACGTGGGATAACAACAAATAAACATCGTGGTGCCAAGTGCCGCTCATGTTCCGCATAAACGGCGACGATTCACCGCCACGGCGAATCGTTTACGAGTGCAAAATTATACTCTTTGGTTTTTTCGGTAAAGTCACGTAGGTAGAAGAATAATAAAATAAAAAATAATAAATCATGACGTTTCGATCGCAACACAAGCGGTCGTCCTCAGGTGGAAAAAATCATCCAGCAGTGGAACTGCTGAGAACGACCGCTTGTGTTGCGATCGAAACGTCGTGATATATTATTTCATTTTATTATTTTTCTACCTACGTGACTTTACCGAAAGAACCAAAGAGTATGGATTCCTGCAGCCACGAAAGCTTCAAATCAAGATTGAGTGCAAAATTATTTGCAGGGAAAGGCGCAAGCAACGACAAGGGGAGACGAAAGCGTGAACAACCCCGGGGGGTTCGTGACTCATGGACTCCGGCCCCTCGGCACGACGGTTGGGCCCGATCGTCGTGGATGCAAAGTCACGTGCGCGTGGCCGAGAACCCCGATGCGGTGGTGTTTTGCCGATTTCGCGGTGGGGGAGGGGGGGGGAACCACAAAAGGGTGACTTCCCGAGTGGCCAGCCCTCATGGGAGCCCTTGTCGAGTGTTCTCGAGCTGCTAGGAGCAGTGGGGTGCGGATAGGTTAGTCTCCTCCCAGAAACATCGATTTCTTTCCACTAATAATGAGCATGAGCACCCCGAAGCACGCTGAGGTTTCCATGCTGCCTCCACCCTGAAGTGTGGCCAGCCGAGATGGTCTGGTTGTGAGGGCGAGCATGATTTTACTTGGGCACGGGATGAATGATTCCCACACGTGTTGGACAGCGAGTCAAGGCATATCATGTGCACTTTGTGGTCCCTTCCCATAGCTGCTACTACTAAAATTAGTCTCCAAGCCTATTTAAGCGCACAATTTTAAACTCATTCTCACGCACCTGTATGTAAGCTTCCAATCCGCCTCAAGGCTGACGCCTCCGCCCCAGAGCATGGCTTGTGCCCAGCCATTGTACCGCAGTGGTGAGATGTTAACTACTTCGCCTGGTATACAGGAGGTCGTGGGTTCGATCTCGACCTTGACGCCTGCTGCTGTATATTTGGAGTTTGCACGTTTCTCTCCCTACGGTCCGCGTGCATTTTTCTCCGGGTCCTCCGGGTTTTCCCTCCACATTTAGAAATATGCATTCGGGTTTTTTGGCTGCTATAAATTTCCACGTGATCGGCCTACTTCGTTCAGCTATCATTTGTGGCCAGGTCGCTTCTGAAAAACAGCTTTATGGCTCATTGATCCTTACCTGGTAAAATAAAAAGTTTAGTTTTCATCTTAGTTGATTGTGCAATAACTGACCCGCCCACGCAGTACATCTGCGACAAAGAGCTTCATGGCTCATTGGATTCCTCCAGTCTAAACAAAGAATCTGATACTCTGAAATAACTCGCGCGTCTACGTCCACACTTACTTTCTGCCAGCAGCCAGGTAGGGGCAGCCCGTCCGCTCCCTGTAGGGGGGGGGAGGGGGTAATGGCACATCATTGGCGTGAGTCTCGGCCTGCAGCGGCAGACGCACACGGGCAGCAGGGCACGCGGTACGATTCGCAGCAACGGCGTCACCAGCTCGAGTCACTCCACAAAGTGATGTCCGTTTGTGGAGGGAGGACCTCTCCCGCTATGGATTGGGAGCTTGGGCCAAAGAGGCGTTGCTTCATAGTTCTCCGATGTATTTTGGCAAGACTGCCTGACATTTCACCCACAACTGAATCGAATTCTACGGCTCCTTAACGAGCTCCCAGCACGTGGAGGAAAACGCCGGAAAACGCATCGGAGAGCTATACAGCGCAGTCGCGCAAACCATTGGTAGGAGGCGTTGAAAAAATCAGCTTGTGACGCCGCCGATTCAAAGATACGTGCGGAGGCGGCACCATCCTGATCCGACTTTGGATGGATCGCTGCCGATCTAAACCGGGCAGAGAAACAAACCATTCCTCCCCAGTCGTCATCGGCAAAGATGAGAATTTTTCGATTTAAAGCTTCTTTCGTGACTGCAGGGATTCATCTTCTTGGTTCTTTCGGTAAAGTCACGTAGAATGAAAATAATAATAAAATAATAATAAAACATAATAAAATAATTCTCACGACGTTTCGGCCACAACGCAAGCAGCCGTCCTCAGGTGGAGAACAGGTCTGTCGAGAAGACAGAGTCTGAATTATGATTCTCACGTCGTGAGAATGATTTTATAATGTTTTATTTTTATTATTTTATTATTTCCATTCTACGTGACTTTACCGAAAGAACCAAGAAGATGTTAATTTTTTTTTCTATCTCGGTTATTTTTCGCTCGATTAGTTTGTCCTGCCGTGCCGTTAGCCCATTGGGTGCAGTTCTGCGCCTTTGTACATTTGAATAGTTCCACGGGTGACCGTGGCACAGGTGCGATGGCTTTGTCGGTTCCTCGAGCCAGTGGTGGAATCAGTCGGTGCCGCCTTCGTACGGTCGCATTTCACTAACAATTGGCCACGGACGCGAAAGAGCCAAGCTGCAAGGAATCTGAAAATGATGCTGATAAAAAAAACACAGCTTAAAATCCCGAAAAGCAAATTATGAATTTTTTTTAATGTGACGGATGTTGCCGAATATTTTTGATTTAAATAAATACACCATAAAGGGTTTATTGATATGAACGAAGCGTTGCCTACATTTATTTTTCCCTCCGTTTAAATTTAAATTTCGCTCACAATTTTGGTCCTTACTCAGAAAGCACTCTCGCGAAGTAATTCACTGCAAAAAAAAAAAAATACCTGAACAGGATAAAAAACTTAGCACGTGTGAACACTCGATTCGCTTGCTTGATTTACAACGGCAAAGGAAGCTTTTATGGAAATGCACCCGATTTGTTTTTGCAGTCCACGCGTAAAGCCGGCCTTGATTTGATCCAATTCATTTGCTTCTCCGCATTAAATTTGAAGAGTGGCTAAAACCCGATGGGAATATCACGCTTGCAGGCTTGTGTTTTCTCTGACGTTCATTGACGATTAATCATACTGATCAGGGGATGTGTGCAGTCTTACCGAGGGGGGGGGGGGGGTTATTCCCCACGGGATGTTCCATTCTAGTCGCATAAGAGAGGGGGTTGTATGTACAGATGCTGAACTTCTTTCGCACCGCACGGAGCCAACCGTGCAAATCGCAGGTGCGGTGGAAGGACAACAAACTAAAGGTTGGGTGTCCACATTTTTCTCAGCATGCGCATGAGCAGGTAATTCTTTTTTTAGTGATTAATTATTATTCTTGATAAAGCGCCCGTGGGTTAACAGTAACAGGGTTAACGCGACCTAGCTTTGAAGTTCGTGGTGTATTAAAAACAAACGAGAAGATGTATATGTTGACAACCACACGCGATTTGAATTTCATGAAGTGATTCACACTGGACCGATTCTATTCAGGATTTCAATGAATATCTTAACTCTGCATTTCCCCCCCCCACCTCCCGCTTCGTGAAATGTAAATCTCATTTTTACTGCTCGATTCCCCGTGCGGTTGTTTGATCTGCTTATGTGCACAGTGCAAATATATCTGTAGCTGGTAATGGCGAACGGGCAGCCTCGTACAAATTATGGGTTTAGAAGGTTGTTTAAAATTGCTTTAATTGGCCAAGCCACCATTGCAGGTCCAATTATAATAATTATATATATGTGTATAAAAATATGGTTCAGACACTGTATGTATTTGTTTCAATTGGTTTCAGGAAACGAAGGTAATGGTCAAATTGACTTGCATCTCACTTTCAAATTTACCAAAGCAACAGATAACACTTTTAACACTGATGTAAATTAAGCCTGTCGGAATGGTAATTTGATAAGATACCATTTATAAGAAACACACTATCCCGCAGTTGTGTATTTTGTTTATCAGCATCATTTAAATTTACTTGCTGTTTTTTTCAGTTTCCAGCATGCATTTCTCCAAACATCACAGTTCATATCATCAAAACATATAACTTCAGGCAGCAAACAAACCTTCATGCAGCAAACATTCAAACGACACATATAAATATCAACTACATTTGAATAAAAAAAATAACCTGCACCTCTACAAGAGGCTTGACATGTCAGCAAAGCCTGAGCAAGGCCTGCTGGTGTAGGCCACAGATGCTTATCACCATGACAACAATCAATCCCTCCCAACCAGTGTTGTCCCTCCATTAAGATCGACCATAACATTACACTTTATGTAATAAAAAATTGGACATTCCACTCTATTGTGAAAGAAGTGCCAATTATTTTGGAGTTTTTTTTTATGTTTGGTGCTTATTCTTTTCTGTACATAATTTTATCCAGAGGGGTAAACAATGGCCATGAACCTAGAGCAGACTGATGATGTCTACTATTTGGAAATGCTCACAAATGTGTCAATTTGTTCAGAAGGGTCTATAAGGCCATTATTCCCAGGCTGGGCACAAGTGAATACAGATAATGCAATTAAAACTAATTGGATTTTCTTTCAGTGCAGTGTTAATGAATTTAATTCTAAAGATGCTTATATTCAATGCACACGGAATATAGGAATATTTTCACGTGAGATTTTGTAATAAAAAAAAATACTGTCTTGTTTTACATTGTAGCGTGTGATAAATCACATCACAAGAATTGTTTTTCCCTTTGGCTCTGGTGTTCTATCAACATCGCCGCTATTGATCCGCAAACGTGGGTTTATTCTATTAACGTTCTCAACCCCTGCCGCTCACTCCCACCGCTCCCGGGCCGTGCGGCGTGATAAAGAGCGGCCACGCTCGGTGGTGGATTTGTCTGACGTTGAAACGAAATTCACCACAAGCGACAGAGGCCGTGTCACAGCAGGGTCAAACCGCACCACCTCCCCCATTTCGCACTCAAGAACAAGGGCGGCTATCGCCCTGCTCACGGTGCTGGTATTAACAACACCTCTAACTCCACCATCGCCGAGTGCCGGTTTGTTGTTTAATATTCCATTGGAGCGCTGTCTAGAAAATCCGCGGTGCAATTCATTAAGCCCATGGGCCAAGCAGGCGCCCTCGGCAGTCACGGGTGCGCGGCGTGAATGTCGGCATGATGTGGTCCGGGTGTCGACTCAGTTTGCTGTGCGTACGGCCGGGCCTGACCCGGCCCCTCTCTAACGCATCACAGGTGCCGTCACAAATCCTCCCCAGACATGAAATGCGGAGCAAAATGCATCAGGGGAAAATGGTTAACAGGGAACGGTCAAGGACCAGGAAGGGCGTTCAGCTGTGAGGTGAGTCGGACTGGGAAGGAATCAAGGATTGCTTTGGGACTCGAGACGAGAGAAGGATTGGGAATCAGGGAGTGCAAACCAGCGAGGAATCGGGATTTGTGAGGCATTGGGATCAGGAGGTGAGTTGGACTGGGAAGGAATCAGGACTGCTAAGGGTTCGCGTAAATTATTAGGATCAGGAAGGGAGTGCAAAAACAGCGAGGAATCGGTGCCCAGGAGAGGATTGAGGCTGGGAAGGGAGTGAGGGTTGGGATCCGTGCGGCAGATATGTTACAGCACTCGGAGTAAGAGGATAACGCAAGTATGGCATTGCCTTTTAAAGGCACGCAACGCCAGGTAGGAGGCACTCTATTAAGGAGGCAGGAGCAGGGAGTGTCCAGGAGTTGTTTACATTAAAAGTTCACTTTGTGCAGTATTACTGTGCCTTATTATTGCCACGATCAGAATTGTTTAAGGTCTACCGAAAATTACGTGATTTTTTTTGTTAAAGATTGTCTGGGTTTTACCCATAAAGAATAATACTTTACATACCTATGAACACGTGATTAGTAAGAAAACAAAAAGCCACACTGCCCATTACAGACAGGAAAGCGATGTCAATATTCAGGCCAAGCAAGCCGGGGAGGAACAGAACGCGTGAAACAAAAATCTTTTGCTGGCAAAAGATTTGACACATTAGCATGTGGGTAAAAAAAAACCCACCATCGCTGATAGGAGTTATCAGAGCCATGCAGAGGCGGAACATCTCACGTGAAGACATGCGCTCGGCATCGTGATTAACGACGAACCGAGAGGAAGTAGGAAAAGGGTTGCCAAGGAAGGGGAATAAATGAGGAGCAGGGAAGTGGGGACAGGAACGGATCAGCAAGGATGTGGAGCGTGGCACAGGAGAGAAGGTATGGAGGTGAGGAGGAGGTGGTCGGGGTGGACTTCGCGAGGGATGGGGTGGAGGAGGCGAGGGTGGTTTGTTGGTGCCTCCAGTGGAGGTTGTCAGCGTCCCCGCAGTATTGTTTAAATTGTTGCCCATCTTGGATTTTTACGTCCCGAGTTTCATAACATTCGCCATTGGTGGGCTTCGGTGCACATGGCCCTCAAATGTGCCAATTTTGCGAGATAAAATTTCGTGTAAAAAACTCGACGGGTATTTACTTCAACCTGCAGAGATTGGACACATTGTCGGAATTCAGGGTTGCGAATATGTTTTTAAATATATTGTCTCGTCTGTATTCCATAGTTTCATTAGCTTAAATGTAAGATAAGTATATAATTGGCATAGATCGTGCATAATCTATTCTTACACGCACAATCTGTTCAATTTGTGGTGACTGCAAGTATTGTCGTTGTTAAATTAACCTTTGCCAAAACAAACACGTGGCTTCTGATTCGTGTGTTGTGGAATGCAGTTTCATCACAACAATTTTCAACTTGACAAAAATCAGCAGAAAACATTGGCGTTAATTTTTTAAAAATGTTTTGACAATTAATTACCAGTGGAATCTGCTCTTCCACCAACACACGAATTAGAGGAATTAGAGCCACTTGAGCATAGACCAATCGAGCGGGGGGGGGGGGGGGAGACTTTCATCTCCTTCAGTTAAGGCCACGGGGGGATGGATGAGAACAGGAGGGCAGATGCGATAGGGGGTGACAGGTGTGGAGAAGGGATGGACGAATGGAGGTGAGTGGAGAGGAGAGGAAAATAAGAGTGGGACAGGGAATAGGGGAGAGGAAAGGAGAGGAGAGTGAGGGTACTGTACCAACGGGCATGGCGCGTCTAGGCCATCCAGGCCAGGCATGCCTGGCTCCCCCTTCTCCCCCTTGGTACCCCGAAATCCCTGCACGTGAGACCAAGCGACCGCGTCCGTCACAAACACTCTCCCTGCGCGTTAGAAGCCCGCCTCTGATGGAGGAGCGCTAGCGGGCACGGCACGGGGCGCGCGAGCCTGCCAGCAGCTCGCGTCCAAACCCCGGCGTCGTCTGAGAAACGAAAACAATGACGAGCGATAACGGAGAGAGGGGCAGGGCAGGGGGGTACAACGCCGGTGGTCCCGCGGCTCGAGTCTACGCGAGAGACCGCGGCTGCAAAAAAAACATCGACCACGTGGACTCGCGCGCACATTAAACCACGCAGAGGGGGTTCTGTGGGGGGGGGGGGGGGGGCGACCACCACCACTACCACAATAAAGCAGCGCTTCAGGTAATACGTTAATTCGAAAAGCAAACCGGGCTCATGTGCCCTGGGTTTAATATCCAAAATTGAACGAGCTCAGTAATTGGTTAAGTGAAGCTGCGTTTGCTTTGATGAGGGCTTGCGCCACGCTGCTTTCCGTGGCTCGGTGACCCCCCCCCCCGCCCGATGCTCCCCAGCACCTTGGGCAGGTTGTGACGTACCAAAGGACAGGGCGCGTCTAATCCTGGAGCCCCCTGCTCTCCCTTATCGCCCTTCGGGCCCTTTTTACCTCGGACTCCCCTCTCCCCCTGTGGATGCAACGGTTTGGTCAGCCACACACAGAAGGCACACGCACACAATCAGCTCATGGGGGAATAATACAGCTTGGGGAAAGTTAAATACAATTTTCACTTGGTAAATGTTTAGTATTTCTTTGTCGGACGATGTGGCTCACGTAAACACATTTCTGTCACTTTTGAACATGAAAATGATTGCTTGTCCATTAGTTTAGCTTATGCATATAGTTATCTTACATTCTTTAGACAGTACACGAGGCTGCTATGGTAGAGAGGGGGACAAATGTACAAAAGAGTTGAGTAAATGATAGCTTGAGATAGCAGAAGTAAAACTCGTGTAATGGTCTTTTGGGGATTCCATGAAGTTGTTTGGCCACGTTGCTGGGTTCATACTCTTAGGTTTTTTCGGTAAAGTCACGTAGGTAAATTTTTTTAAATAAAAGTAATAATGGAAATAAAATAAAATAATAAATCATGACGTTTCGGAGGCAACACATGTCTCCGTCATCAGGTGGGACCGTCACAGCTAAAATTACTTGCATCAAGTGATTTTAGCTGTGACGGTCCCACCTGATGACGGAGACTTGTGTTGCCTCTGAAACGTCGTGATTTATTATTTTATTTTATTTCCATTATTACTTTGATTAACTTTTAATTTTTTTTTACCTACGTGACTTTATCGGGTAAAACCTAAGAGTATGAATCCTTGCAGTCACGAAAGCTTCAAATGTAGAACGTTGCTGGGTGGTTCATTGCGGCAGCCTTAAACGGGATTTTGTTTTCTTCCAAGGATCTGAGGGTTTTAAGAACGAGAATGTTCTGTATTCAAGTACGCTAAAACACCCTGCAGGAAGACACCACTCGGAAAAAATGAAACAACTCCCGTATTGTAGATGCACACCGAGCCCGTGGGTCCCCCGAATTTCCGATGGAGGAGTTTAAAGGCTCGTTTGATGAGATTGGTTTAGGCGAGCCTGAGCCAAGAGGGGCACACTATGTCGAAACGTGCCCAGAAAGTTCGCTTGTGTTTAATCAATGCTGCTGACATCATTATGCACTCCCCAAATTGTGCACATCGTGGGGCTGGCTAGTTGTGTAAACGATACTCGTGTGCGTTCTACGTGGCGAGACTGGTATACGAAGACGACGTCCTGTGTTCTTATCTATTTCGATCAAAGATGTAACGGTAAGTGTACGAAGTTTTCCAGTGATGTCACTTGCAGGGATTAATTTGTATAAAAAATAACTGCAGGAGTCACGCCACAGTGACGAACATCACGAGAAAACGCCTTGAGGTCGCTTTCAATTGTTTCTGCACATTGACGAAGCTTTTCAGCTTTGTCGGACAGCCTGAAGCACACAGCCCGCGAGTGCAGCTTCAAGGGGTGATCGGAAATTTGGCCTGCGTCTTCTCCTAAGGAATGTCTTTTAATTTTATTTTTTATTTAAAGCAGTGTGTTTTTCAACCGGCTACTGGGGGAGTTCATATTGGAGAGGATAGCAGAGTTGACGAGAGGCCTTAAGGGGGTCCTAAATGTGGATTATGTTTAGGCCTTCGCCGGGTTCTCAAAAGCCCTGACCACTACAAGACAACACCAGCAGTGGCAGGAGGAGCTCAACGCGCTGCTGCTGCTGCTGCTGCAGATGCCGCTGCCCCAACGGCGATGGCCACGTCGGCTTAAGTAGTCGGGCGACGTGAAGCCCCAGCAAAGGTCGACAGTCGATGCTGTTCGCCTGCCGAGATGTAGGCCTGAGGCTGGTCAAGCATTTGAGCTCTTTTTCAGAAGCGACCTGGCCACCAAATGATAGCTCAACGAAGTGGTTTATCACGTGGAAACGCAAAGCAGCCAAATACTCTAAATACACGTTTCTAAATGTGGAGGGAAAAACCGGAGGAACCGGAGAAAAAAATCCACGCGACCACGGAGAGAGACACGCAAACTCCAAATATACAGCAGGCATCAGGTTCGGGATCGAACCCACGACCTCCTGTATACCGGGCGAGGTAGTTAACATCTCACCACCGTGGAGCGACTGTGCTGGGGGGGGGGGGGGGGGCCCACTGGCCGTGAGTGGAGATGGCAGTAGCGCACAGATTGTGCTGAGTAGGCATGTAACCGTTCATATCCCCAGCGGTTTGATGAACTGTCAAAATTTTGGGGTTGCAAATTGATTTTGGCAAATCTGGTGATATATTTCACACGGTTCTTACGAATGTTGTTCACGCCCTGTTTTGTTTCTGGACTGTCTTGTGTTTACAGCTCTGTTCGCTTCATTAGCCAGCGTACAACACGAGAATATGAATTATTCCGAGCGAAGAGATTGATTCGAGACAGGGGACCGTGAAGGACGCTCATTCAGCCTTAATCGCCTCTGTTGAGCGGAATAAATGGAACTGAAGGCAGAACACTAGAATCTTATTTGTATAAGATTTGAATAAATCTATTCCCACGCGTATCATTTTAAGTTGTCTATCAGAAGCAGGAGAACCGATGCATCGTCGCATGCCTGGCGTTGAGAGACGGCGCCTGACAGGGACGTGCCTATTGCTCGTGTGCTCTATCAAATCTGATGAGCGGCGCTTCAATTTTCAAAGAGTAGATAAGCACACGGGACCGATTTGGCAGTGTCCGTCGGGAGCTGCCCATATCGTGGTGAAGATGTAAGGGTTCTAGATTTGAAGCTTTCGTGACTGCAAGGATTCATATTCTTGGTTTTTTTCGGTAAAGTCACGTAGGTAAAAAAAGAAAATTAATAAAAGTAAAATAAAATAAAAAATAAAATTAAAATCACGACGTTTCGGAGGCAACACAAGCTTTACTTGATACAGCAAGCGTGCTGTGACGGTTCCACCTGAAGACGGAAGCTTGTGTTGCCTCCGAAACGTCGTGATTTTTATTTTATTTTACTTTTATTAATTTTAATTTTTACCTACGTGACTTTACCGAAAAAACCCAAAAATAAGATTTAAGGGCTCTGGCAGGGAAGACGAAAAAAAGGGGTTAGGAACGGAAGGAGGCAAAGGCCGGGGACACGGCGAACGTGACAGACAAGGAATGCCAAGTAAACATTCTGCAGCGGGAAACGGAGAGAAGGCACGACGGGAAATGATTCGCACAGGGAGGTGGGCCCGATATGAAGTGGCAGAAAAATTACGATTACATTTACAACTCGGACTTTGCACACTGTGGGGCAGTGGGAGAATGGCGGCCCTGGCCCCATAGACAACGCCATTCAAGGGTTTATCAGGATTTTTAACGAGGTACATCGATGATGGATCGATGCACTGGAAATGGTGAGTCACTTTAAACCGTGATAAAATTAACGATGTCATTAAAAAACAGACGCGTCCTTGAACACAAATTGTGTCCTTTCATCTAAGGCACTCGGAAGTGAGTGGACATGAGGTTGTTTAAGGAAACAGGGCACACTCGAGTATTTGAGCTGCCTCCAGTCTTTGTCGGCGCTCACGTTTCACTCGTGTGTGTGTGTTGGCGTTACGGCAGCGGCTGCACATCGGACGCATTATTTTGCGTCGCGTTCTCTTGTGCCGAGTGACAATTGAGGCTGAACCTCCAGGGAGATATCGGGCCACCTCCCCCCCCCCCCATACCAACGTCTTTACTTGGGGGAGAAAGCAACGTGGTGGGAGAGTCGGGAGGCACGGGAGCGGCACGCGGGAGGTTTCGGCGAAGGGAAAGGGAGAGAAAGCGCACGGGAGGAAATCGACTTCACTCTGAGCAGAACATATCCGTGTGCTGAAAGTTTGGTGAATGTGAATGGCGGACGTTATCTCTTAATAGAACCATTTTCGGGGAAATTTAAAATTTGCACGCGTATGAACGATGGCACATTTTACACGTGACAATATCGTAGTGACACATTCTTTTTCGGCCAGAATTGAAATGATCAAGGAAATGGTAATTTAACAGATGTAAGCACCTCAATCATCTCAATTCAACTGGGAGCTTTGAGATGCTACTTAAATTCAAATTGCTATTCTTATTTGAGGAAAAGACCCCAAAATGGAGACAAGGAGAATAGGCAAGGCCCGAGCTCTCGAGTAACCATGACGACGATGACGACGACGATGATGATGATGAGTTCTGTAAGCAGCGGTTGATGAGTGGAGGTGTGAGGATTGTTCCTACCCGTTCCCCCTTGTCTCCCCTCAGTCCGGACGTGCCCTGGAGAGACACGGAGCAATACCACGGAAATACACAATGAGAAACGCGAACACACACGCATGCAAGAACACGCCAGCCGGACTTATAGTGGTGTCTGATTTACTATCTTCGGTGGTACCTCATAAAAAAAACCCCGCAAACGTTTAATTATTTATTCAGTTGTTGTTTGTGTGCCACAATAGATGGATTGAAAGTGGCGTGCAATCCCCACTCTCATCGTTGCCTTGCCCAAACACACTGTTGTACACTCTCTGGCATTTGCTCAATGTCAGTTGCTCTGCGACTCGCAGATGGCAGTGAGGCGGCGGCTCCCAAGCTGTTAGTTCTCTCCACTAAGTGTTTTTTGCCCGTATGCCAGGTCAGGTTACCCCTTCTCACACCTCGGAAGCTAAGCAGGTGCTTAGCTTGGACAGTGCTTGGATGGGAAACTACCATGCACAACAGATGCATTGGCTGTGGGGGCTAACGTTCCAGTGTGAGCAAAATCCATCGTTGTACTCTACTTCTATGCCCCCGCGTTTATGCGACCCGCCATTAGCAACCCGCGCTGGCCAGCCCGGCAAAGTTTGGTTGAACAACCCGCGTGGCACGGGGAAGGCCACTATCCAGCGGTGGGTTGACAGAAAAGGGGCTCTCCATGGACACGCATTAACGAAGACGAACGTGGGCTCCCATTATCGAGCAGGCGTGCGGCTGGATGTGCCGACAGGTGCGGGTGACCCTCACCTGGAGTCCGGGCATCCCGTTCCGGCCCTAGACAACGAGAAACACCCACGAGACATCGTTATTCGTTGGCAAGCCATTCGAGTCATTTGATCAAACCCCCGGTGGAACCATGACGATGAGGGGCTGGGTCACCCCCCCCCCCCCCCCCCCCACAACCGTCCCCGATGGCCGCTCGTTCCACCGCCGAGTCAACGGGCCCAGAGGCCGCCCGTTTCTCGATTGCGATGTTTGGTCAGTTTATTTATTTAACAAGTGCTTTTTGAATACTGGAGGAAACCGGAGTACCCAGAAGGAGAAAAAAAACCCACGCATACGAGAGGATGACACTTAAAGGGCCACACTGACGGGTTCACGGACCCTCTTGCTGTACTGCAATATTGTGGACACCTTGCGGGCCTAGTGGATTAGGGAGTTTCACAGAGCTCTCGGCGTTTGACCAACTCTTGCCTCCAACTAACGGAACACAGATGTATGTCACCCACGCCCGCTGCGTCACTTCAGGCTGGACTCAAACAAACCGAAGGGATTGCGTCGATTATGGACTCCGTAGCCTAAGGGATGGAGCTGATTGACCTCTTGAGGGTTTCTACTAGACTGCTTGAGGGTTTCTACTAGACTGCTTGAGGGTTTCTACTAGACTGCTTGAGGGTTTCTACTAGACTGCTTGAGGGTTTCTACTAGACTGCTTGAGGGTTTCTACTAGACTGCTTGAGGGTTTCTACTAGACTGCTCGAGGGTTTCTACTAGACTGCTCGAGGGTTTCTACTAGACTGCTTGAGGGTTTCTACTAGACTGCTTGAGGGTTTCTACTAGACTGCTTGAGGGTTTCTACTAGACTGCTTGAGGGTTTCTACTAGACTGCTTGAGGGTTTCTACTAGACTGCTTGAGGGTTTCTACTAGACTGCTCGAGGAATTGTACAACTGCAATGGCCATGCAAGTGCCTCTTGATGCAGCATCATGTAAATTATTTAAATCAAAATCAACTAAGAACTAAATGAAAACTATTTTTTATTTTACAAGTAAGGCCCACTGAGCTATATAGCTCTTTTCAAAAACGACCTGGCCACAAATGATAGCTCAAAGAAGTGGCTTATCATGTAGACATTTATAGCAGCCAAATACTCTAAACGAATGCTTCTAAATGTGGAGGGAAAAACGGAGAAAAATCCACGGGACCACGGAGAGAACGTGCAAAGTCTAAATATACAGCAGCATGCGTCAGTGTCGGGATGGGACCCACGACCTCCTTTATACCAAGCGATGTAGTTAACATCTCGCAACCGTGGTACGATCATTACCTCAACAACAAGTTGACATCATTAACCAAACTGGCTATCTGGGCTTCTACTAGAAATGAGAAAAAACAAAAAACCTCTCACATTTACCAATAACACTGCGGCCTTAAACGTAAAAAATATATAATCATTGACGTTTCGGGAAATGGCCCATCTTCATAGCACACGGCCATGGCCCGAAACGTCGGCCTTTTCTCATATTGTTTTCCCGTTTTAAGACCACAGTGTTATTGACGATCGTGTTGAGTCTTTTGTTATTTGTGCTTGTGCACCGCGGCCGATGCAGCAGCAGCAGCAGCAGCAGCGTCACCACAATAATTTGCCACTCGAAGTGAGCGTCGTTTCCACTGTGACTGCGCAATCACTCCACGCCCGTGCCGGGTGCATTTCAGACTCTAAAACGAAACAGAATTTCCTGGCAAACAGGAGGCATGGTAATTTCTTCTCGGCAATCGTAGAAAAGCCATCTTACTCTCATTTTACCTGAGCTGTTATACTAGCTGGCCATAAATGTCCCTTGGCCATTGTGCATTGTGAACGTGACTTCCTGCTCATATGAGCGTTGTGGCATCCGTTGCTCATCTCCCGTTTACAACCGTGAGCCAGTGGTGGAAATTCCCCATTCCCATGGCAGGGGACGAGTCTTTTCATTGTACAACCGCTGTTGACTTTTCCGCAAAGTGGTATCTATTTTATCTACCCTGGAGAGATGGTGGGCTGAGTAAACCGTCAAAGAAGATTGGAACTCGCAACACTTCGGAATGCGAGCAGTTTTCTCTACCGCTCAGCCATCCGGCTGGATATTGCGCTACCACAGCTGAGAAACGGCACCGCTGTTATGAATACAGGGAGACGTGATTATTGTAAATGTTACCACGTGTTGGGTCAAAGCGTATCGGTGTATCCATTACCGGCGCACGGGGAAAATCACCAAGGCGATGAAATGTGGTCGTTTCATCGTGAAGCGAGAATGGCCCACAGAGGTCGCAGTGACCGCGTCCAACCGACAGGCGCTCAAAGCCCGTGACCAAAACAATCTGAATCAAATCACCGCAATTCTGTCGTCAGACCTGGGAAGCCTGGATTAGTGTCTGGGTGGTTGTTATAGGGCAGCCTTAGGGCTCTGCTACCTTGTGGACAGCAGTGCAGCAAAATCTATTGCTGTACTGCACTTCTATGTTGCCAGGTCTATATGCTCCCTGCCTTCACTCACCCGCACTGAACAGCGCTGTGAAGTTTGATTGAATAGCCTCCACAACCCGCTTTGCATGGCGTGGCCCTCATCCAGCAGTGGACTGACAAAAGGGCTGTGCATCTACTGTTTCACAAGGGAGCGGGGTTGGGAGGTTCCTTGGAGGTGCGTGCACTCACGGGTAGCCCTGGCGGTCCGTGAGGTCCTATGGATCCAAAGTCTCCTTTCTCTCCCTGAGGAGGACGGGGAGGGGTGGTGGGAGGAGGTGGGGTGAGCGATGGAGAGGTACACAAATGGGTAAAGAGTCGAAAAAGGACAAGCGAAGGGTCAACACACTCAAGTGGTTAATGCACCACGTGGTGTTCACGCAGCAGGTCCGCAGTTACAAACTGGGCAGCTGCAGAAACGATGGATGAGAGTCAAACTCAACCAAATCTCACAGGTACAAATATGAATAATATTAATAATGATGACGATGAGTATTATTTATGATATTGAATCGCACTCAAGCCTATGACCAAATATTCTGGCAAACAGTATATCTAATCTTGTCAGATCCCGGAAATTAAGTGCTTGGATGGGTGACCGCAAATATGATAAAAATATATTAATATTTGTACCAATGGATCCTTGCTTGTCGAGTATCTGCCCATTCCTTAAATTCGACCTTGGTCTATGAGTGCCTCTTTCTCTATACAACAGACATTGATTGCCCAATGTTCTGTACGGCATCTGGAGATGGGGGTCACATTTAGAAGCTGTGTGAATCAAAACTGTACACATTCTATTCTAAATAATAATGTAAAAGATGTATCCACGAAAGCGTCACTAAGTCTTTAACGACTTATTTTTCAGGACAGTCTTGCATTTGTTTGTCTATCCAATTCCCTTTCGGTAAGTGTTTCTTCATGCGGGAGGAGCAAAAATATAACATATGAGGAGATAACACTCAAACATGTCTGATGGCTTCGCCAAAAAACAAATTGCTCTCCTGCAATCTGCTCACGTTTGTCACAGTCCAGCTGGTCCGGGAAGCTCACAGTTGCTTGTGTGATCCGTCAACCCTTAGCTTCCAAACCACTGGACAACATGTGGGTCATCGTGCCTGGCTAAGCCTATCAAAGATCATCAACCAGGTAAGGTTTGGTGCAGCATTTCTGTTGTTGTCTGAAAAAATGCAGACAATATTTTTTGTCCACTAATAAATGGGAGCCATTGCACCGGTTTTGTGAAGACGCAAAGGTGTGGGATCTCCTGGCTGATCGTGGCAGATGGTGGAGATTTTTTTAGCGTGTTTTCCTTGCAGGAGAGCACGATTCTCCACCTTCACATAAAATGCACCTTTCACCTGCGTCTTCAGCCACATTCTCAGAAATGTAATTTGATGAGCCAATTAAGGCGACACCCGATTGCCACTTTCATTCCACTCATTTTCATCACTTTAAACGGCGGCCCAATTAAGCACTTTAAAACGCTTCAATTTTGTGATCTTCAAGGCCATCGTTGTAATGAACTCTCTAATTTGTCAGCGCAAAGCCCCGCATAATAAACGTGCCTTTTTGCCATCAGAAAGCGCAAGAGCTTAGGAGCAGCTGGGCTAAATGGTGCCCAAGGTAAAGCATCGGCCCTCACCTTCTCTCCCTTTGGCCCCGCTGGACCGAGCGGCCCCGCTGGCCCGTTCGGCCCCTAAGCGAGATTGAGCAGCAGCAGCAGCAGGCAGAGACGGCAGGAGACAGAGAGAGAGAGACAGAGAAGGACCGAAGCGGGGAGACAAAGTGAAAGTGACTTGACATACCGCTCCGGCAACCGCAATGTCCTTCACCGCGTGACCCCTTACCCCCACCCCGCGGTGGCGCTCTGATTAAAGCCAATGCCGGTGGGGTTCAAACCCCAATTTGGAATGCGGGTGGCCACGGCCTGCAACAACTTCGAGGTCCCAAAACCTCCAGCGCTCAGGGGACCAGAAGGCGTCAACCTCGTTCGCAGGGCGCTGCGGGTCGGCGGCACAAAGCGGGACGCAACGCCGTGCAAACATTAGCGGGCGCTCATTAGGGTGTCGTTTTGGCGAAGGGAAATGTTTTTTTTTTCTCTCTCTCCGGAGCGGCTTTCGGCAAGGCCCGCTGCAGATTCACGTGCAAACGATGCATCGCACAGACCGGTGTGCGACTGCTGAGCCATCGGTCACTTCTACCGTTGTTGCTAAAACGCCGCCCCCTGTTTAAAAAAACTATTTAGACTGCCCTATACAATGCACCGGCCCGGTACACATATTCTGTCGATTATGCGGTGATGCTGCTGCTGTTGCTGCGTTGACAGCGGTGCACAGACACCAATAACAAACAAAAAGCCACACTCGTCAATAATTTAAAAATAAAATATATAATAGTTGACGTTTCGGGCAATGGCCCTCCTCCATTGCCTAACACGTCACCTGTTACACGTTTCCTTTTAGAGCAGCCTTATTGACGAACGCGTTAAGTTGTTGTTGTTACGTGTGCTCGTGCACCACCAGCAACATCACCGAATTATTTATTTTCATATTTAATAAATATTACAACTTGCACACACGAGCCTGACCTTCTCCCATCCAGTAGTGCATCGACACAGATTAATCATCTTTGTCATAATCTTCGTGCATTAACCCGTGACGTCACAAGGCAGTGTCACAGACTTGTTTAGTGAATTAATTAAATCGTTTATTTATTGCACGTGTTTCACTGCAACCGGTGTTAGCGATTGGCGGTTAGGAAGCCAGAAGCCATGACCCCCCCCCCATCTCCACCCCTCTCCCGCCCCCCGTGCTCTCACGACGGCACCGCCTGTAGCCTCTGGTGAGTTATTCGCCTCGCTGATGGACATTAGTGGACAGCCGCCTTATCACGTCCCCCCACCCAACCACCTCCCGAGGAACAGCAACCTTGAGCCAAGCGCCCCCACCCACCCACCCTGCCCCCACCCACCCACCCTGCCCCTCAGCAAATGCGCCTCGAAAGCTTCTGCACGTGGAGGGTTGCCCCCTGGTGGGCCGAGTAGGCGGTCTGCAGGTGGAGAGGGCCGTTCTCTGCACCGGGCCGCATCGATATTTTAGAGATTATATTTGGCTGCTGTGAATTTCCACGTGCGATGAAGCCACTTCGTTCACCTATCATTTGTGGCCATTTGCCGCTTCTCAACGAAAAAACAAGCTAATAGCTTAGTGGGGCTGTACCTGCTAAGATAAAAAATAGTTTAGTTTATTTGTATATATTTTTAAGTTGCTTGTTTACGTTTCCGACCATAGTTTGCACCCCTATTGCATTTTGCTATTGTTTGTTAATGTAACGTTCTGACCTTGCCCAACTGGACTTGTATGATAAAGAGCTTCATAGCTCATCGTATTCCTCCAGTATAAATATTCCGATTCTGACATTGTCACGGGGGCGTGATGTCGTCCGGCCATGGCGGCCGCTGTCCGTTCGTCTGTGCGTTGGTACGCGGCCGAAAAGAGCTCGCTCGTGGGACGAAGCCAAACCTCCATCGGTAGCGAGCGGAACCGGCTGCCGGCACGCACCGCTGACCGCCGAGGGTGGCACTCTCGTCCGCCTTCAACCCTTAAGAGCCACCCGGTGTTCATCAAACGGTGGGTCCGCCGATTTCTCGCCGCCAAAAATTCGGCACTGCTCCTCTGCTTGTGCACGAACGGACGCTGTTGCTCAGCGAAACATGCGCGAGGGGGTTTATTTATGTCCACCCAAGGCAGGCTCGCACGAAAGGGCGGATTGTGTTTTCGTCGAGGTGGCGGCTTGTGGCGGCTTGTGGCGGCTCCAGGTTGAGGCTACAAACTGGGCCCTGGGGCTTTTCAGTCTCGGGCGATAACGCGTGGAGGTTGGTTATTTCGGTAAACTGCGTCCTGAGATGCGGTTGCATCCAACCAGATTGTATCGTATCATTGTGTATCAACTGGATGCGCTGGCGGTGGATTCGTCGTTCGCGCTTTCTCCCGCCAGACGGGCGCTCGCGGCCCGCACAGCTTCCCAGGGTTATGATGTGTCCAGTAAAATAGATTTTTGCAGTCATGATACAAGCATCACATTGTGTGGGTGAGCGTCAACTACAGTTAATGGATTGTGACAATCAAATTGATGTTAGGAGAGGGTAAATCATTACATGCATAGAGTCTATCATGAGCACATCATTAACATCATCATCATCACTATCTTGACTTTACACCAATTCATGAATCCACCGACATGTGTAACCCGAGACTGGAGAAGTCACGGTGGCGTTTTGTAGGCTCCTAAACCGCGAGCTACGAGCCACCGCCGTGGTTTGGCAAGAGGCTCATGCTCACACGGACCCAGACCCCGACTCCCACTGAAGCCTCATCCGTCGGTCACAGAGCCCACCAAGAGTCTTCCCACCTCTCCATCCCTGCTCCTCCATCTCCTCCTCATCTACCATGCACCTCATGCTCACTGTTCCCACCAACCTATGACCCCCCACCCCTCCGACCCCCCCCCCCCCAACAACCAAACCACCTCCCCCCGCCCCCCCCCCGCCCAGCACTGTGCCAGCCCACTCACCGGTGGTCCCGGCAGCCCGTCTAAGCCCGAGGCGCCCTTGGCGGTGGGATGAGGTTAATGAGGGGAGGATGAGGAGAACACACGGAACCATTAGGGGAATGGCACGGCAAAGCAAGGGTTAATCCCACGACCGCGTGGGCTGGGGTGGGGGTGGTGGAATGGGGGAACACAGAGGTGTGCGGCGCGCTCTCACCGAGTATTCACTTAAGCATGGCACGTACGCAGCTCCATGAAATGCATTAATTCCAAAAGGACATAGCAGGTTTGCGCCAATCGGTGCCGATCACTGAGTGGCCGCCCTAAACCGCGGCCTGATTCGTTGTGAATTGGCTCCAGCGGCTGCCCGGAATGCCAGACCAGTCCCCGCGGCCCGCTCCCCTCGTGCCGCTGGAAACACCGCCACCACCGGCACGAGAGAGCGCGGACGGGGGCGGGGGCTAAAGGTTTCTCCTATTTGGATAGAAATCATGCACGGGTAACCGAGCGAGTCTTTCTAACAACTCCAGGTCTCACGGAGATGAATTATGGGTTTTTTTCTCAACTCGCCCGGCAGTCGTCATCGTTTTGATGCGACAAGCAATCCATCCGGCTCGTCATGGCGGCTTTTAGCGAGAGCGCGCTGGTCGGGTATAGCCGGCGCCGTTCCGCTGCGCGCCGGTTTGCTCAGTGTGAACCGTCTACGCTGGTGAAGGAGTGGGGCAATGGTGTGGGGGGTGGGGAGCGGGGATGAGGAGGGAGGTTGAATGAGTTGAATAAGATGAATGAGCACACAAGTAATGAATGAGCACACGACTTCAAAAACACAGCGTGGTGCGCTGGGTTGGGAGGTGAACTGCGACTCCCCCTTGAGGAGGAAGGCTGCCCCCCCCCCCCGCCGCCCCCCACCCATGTGCCGTGGGCCGGTGCCTCGTTAACAACGGGACGGGTCGGTTCGCTCAAGAACATTTACACAGCGCGTTGAGCGCGTCAGCGTTTCGAGGTCCGACTGTTGTCACCGGTGAGGTCGTGGCACGTGCGCGCGCTCTCAGCGCCCCGCCCGTGCGTCAAGAACGGCGTTATGTTAGCTTTTTTTCAAACCAACAATTTTTCAAACAAATTCACGGGTCACAATTATCGCTGCCGAATTCCACGCATGACTTGTTATTTTCAATTAGTTTGCGCGTTTATAATTTTCAGAAAACTTGTAAAGGGGGCGGCAATTGGAGGAGCTCTTGGCGGTTAATGATGCGATTAAGCTCCAACAATCAGTCGGCCGGCACCAACAGTTCAGGAGACAAACTTGAGATTGGGCACAGAGGGCGAGGGCGTGAAGACTTGCCGGGGTTGGGGGGGGGGCATCTGTACCTTCACCACGATCACAAAGACCACGTACCGAGGCCAGCGAGGTTGGGGGGGGGGGGGGGTGCGATGGAGCTGCGCGGGCAGCATGGCCGCCACGGCGCCGTGTAAACGGATCGTGTGATGGAATGGTGGGTGAATGTCACAGCGGTGTTATGATCCACTCATGAACAGGGCAATGTCATGCAATTCGGAAATTCTATAGCCGGCTTCAGGGAAGCCGTGCCCACACCTCCCCCCCCCGCTAACACCGCCACCCATAATGAAAAGCAATGTCCCCCCCCCCCCCGCTTCCCTCCCGACGTTTTCCCCGAATTCAGCGGCAGCTCCTTGGGGTGACCAGGCAGGAACTCGAGTTCCAGCTAATGAAGCCATCCTGGCCAACGCCTCTGACGCCTCCACCCATCGCCATCGCTGCCAAACTCTTCTGCCAGATCCCGCAGCTGTCCCACAATGCACCCCTCCCTGATCTCCAAGCTGTGCTCGTTTACATTCCCACTCGTGGAGTTTTACACTCGGGGCTTTGTTTTATGGGTGGCATTGTCACCCACCCCCCAACAAAACAAGTCCTAGAACCGCCACTGCCCCATGTGTCCTGATCAGTGGTCAGTGCGAGGTCCCCTGGCTCAAGGGTGGAGAATCGGCTGCAGCCACTAGAGGGCGCGCTCCGCCCGGGCAGACCCTCAGCGCCAGAGCCCTTCACGCCGGCCCAGCAGCCCCCACCCCCTCGCCTGTCCCACTCTCGACCGGGCCGCACTGAGTATCTCTGCTTCCCAGGACACCAGAGCAGAAAGACTTCCCCCACCCCACCCCTCTCTCACCCCATCCCCACCCCTCCCTCACCCCCTCCCTCACCCCCTCCTTTTTGATCTTCTTTATACAGACGTACACACACACACGCATGCAATTCCCTACAATATTAATCTCATAAAGGTGTCTCATCTATATTGTTCAGCGTAAAAGCAATCATATCCATGTCCTGTTTCGCCTCGCCCACTAAATCCAGCCCCCTGCCCTTCTGATGCCGGTGGTGAACGATGCAAGAGGTGCGTTGCGGGGGGGAGGGGGCGCAGGGGGGCACGAGGGGGGGGCGTGGTGAGGGGGGTACTGACTGGGAGTCCCATGGGGCCCCGGTCCCCTTTGTCCCCAGTGTCACCCCGTTCCCCCCGCAATCCGTCCATCCCGGCGTCTCCCTGTGGGTGCACACGTTCACGCGTTAGAGAATCGCCTGCCTCGGGGAGCGCCGAGAACGGCTCGGAGGCTGCGGAAGAGGAGGAGGAGGGGAGGGAGGCATTGGGGAGAGTGAACGGCATTGTGACACCACGTTTTCCAGAGGTGGCAGTGGCCAGAGACAGAGATTACATTAGAGAGATTTCGTGAGATTTTTGTGATCGGTTTTGAACGAGCGTTCGAATTTTGGCATGTTCCCCAATTTTTGTGAGAATCTGCCCGACTGCTTCTCTTTCTGGGCCATCGCCATGGCAATCGCTTCATGGGGTGGTTTTCATCGTCCACCCCACGTTCCATGCGGCATCTTCTCAAAAATAACGACAACGAAAAACTCCCATTTCTTGGAACGTCGAAGAGGCTTTCGGGCGAGATAAAAGAAAGATCCTTTAAACAAAAACACCACGTGAAATCCAAGCTGAAGCTTTATCAGCTGGGGCGACTGGAGAAAATAAATAAAAATAAAATAAAAACGAGAACAGTTACAAGCAGCTCCTCTCTTCGGCCTCCCGTCGTGTCAAAACAAGCCCCGGCCGCGGCACACTGAGATTCACTTTGGCCACGAAACGCCGATCCTCAATTTCAACGTACTTTTCCCCCAAACCCCAACCTTTCAAAGCCAAAAAGTTTAATTATCGACGGACGTTCGTGGAGTTTCTGTCGCCGTCGTTATTTGTGCGTGGGCACCACTGCCGTCACGGCGGCGGCAACAACCGCAGCAGTAGCAGCAGCAGCACCACCGCCAAAACGATTTGTTCAACGTTGTTGTCCACGCAGCGCACAGCGCTCGCGTAAATCACCGTCAATTATTATTATTGGTGGTGTTGTTGCTCCCACGCTTGCGCTCGCCAAAAGGGAAAACGGCACAAAGAGCGTTTTCAAAGCGAAACCTGCAGCCGATTACGGAAAGGGGCGTGCGATTATTTAACATTTTGTCTGCCGCTCTGAAATTCGCGTTTTACAATGTCTTAAAGGGTCCACCGGGACTCACCTTGGGTCCTGGAAAACCTTGCAGCCCCTAACAGAAAACAAAGGGAAATTATCATTACGGCGAGAATGGTACCAGAAGTGCGAATTGCATGACAGGAATTGCACGGAATTTTGTGGGCTAATAGCATACTGATCAACCCATTCGGTGTACCCGTATTATCGTACAGGGAAATTTTATTTTCACTTCCATGCGGCGTACAGCCATTTCCATACGGGCAACACATTTTTTTGTCTATTTGTTCGTGTTTCTCCCAATGTGATGGGACTTTGCAGGATGAACGTTGCGATGTATAAGGGCACGGGGTGACCAATACGGTCTGAATTGGTCTGTAATAAGGTGGGCCACTGATAAGGGGTTGACAGGTATGTAGCAGTCCTCGTATGGAGGGCCGACGAAGGGCAGCCGTTTTCCCAGCAAACCACGTAGCGAGTTATTGGAAAGAACGCCGCCTCCGGGAGACATTACGGTTTTAACGCGACTATAATTAATGATTACAACTTCGCCGTTAACTTGCGCACGCAGCAGCGTCACATCCAATCGGGCAGGTACCCTGGGAGATAAGTAACTTTGGCACCGCACACTTCTTCTCCTGCTCTATATAGTTTTTGCAAAACAATGAAGTGTAACAATGATTCTTTCATCATCGCCATCATCATCATCATCACCTATTCACTGCCGGATGAAGGTCTTCCCAAGCTGTCGCAAACTGTTCCTGTTATGAAAGTATTTTGTAATAGCGTGCTGGTATTTCCCATCATCATCAGCATCACGATTGCCGACGGGGTAAACATCGCCAAGGTGATTCATTTCGACGTGGATCCAACCACTTTGCCTGCGTCACTAAGTCTCCCTCCGAGTTGCTGGATTGCAGATATGTGCACTACACTCAGTACAACCTCCGCCCCCCTCCACACTCTGCGCGAAATCCGCACGCTAAAAAAAATACATCCTTTAAAAAAATATATATATATCCTTACGCGGTGTTGTTAAACGTGGAAGTGACACAATCGCTTACCGTAGGCCCGGGAGGACCGCTGGGGCCGGGCAAACCCTGGAGACCAGACATCTATGGGAGTAGCAAGGGGGGCGTAAGCAGGGGACGGGAGAGGTAGAGAGGGGTGGGTGGGATTGGGGGGGGGAGACGAAAGCAAAAAAAAAGAAGATTGTCAGAGTAACTAAACGGGCCAAGCGAACGGTTTGTGACGGGTGTAGCATTGCCGTCACGTGGCCGCGTCTGCAACACTGCAGGTCGAGTTTCACTTTGCTCTGCCAGCCGGGCTAGTCGCTCTTAATTAAAAACGCGGGGAAAATATTACACGGCTGTGTTCTGCTGCCATGGGGGGGGGGGGGGCAGGTGTTCCCACGAACACGACGTTGAACAACGTTTCGTGAACGCGCCTAATTACCGATTACAGGAGCCCCCATATTTACGTGTGTACGTTTAATACGCCACGAATGTTATGTTTTTTCTACATCCAAAAATGCAACCGGCACCGTCGCCACGTCGCGCCATTGCGTAGGACTTTTAATTTTATTTTCTTCTCGTGTTTTTCGAAATCTAAAACCGGACCGCGTCGCGGGTTCGAAACGAGTCACGGTTACGCGAGTTTCTTTGCCAAGGCGAGCGTGGCCCTCCACCGACAAGGCTGTGGCGGCCGAGCGCTGAGTGACAAACGCGACTTGCCGCCTCCAGATTCGAGAAACTTTTCAACTTCTCCCACATCACCGTGGGGCAGATAGCCCCGTAGGTGTCCACTGCACATTTCGTCCTTTGGTTTCACTTTCTTCTCTGTCTTTTAGTGCCAATATGCTCAAGTAGTGGCCACATCTTGCTGGCACCAATCTGTTGATGTCGTCGTCAAGCCACTTTGTCTGCGAGGTCTTCATCTCTTTCTGGTTCCTTCCATTTTTCAGAACAGCATACTTTCAATGTTCCTGTTGTTGTCTATCCTACACGTGTGTCCAGGTAGTGCCAGTTTCCTTCTCATCACTGCCTGCATCATCAGGTTGTCTTCTTCTATGTGCAACATTTTTCTTACTTCTCCGTTGGTCACTGTTTGGGTCCAGCTTAGACGCAGTATGCTGGACCCAAAGAGCGACCAACGCTTCTCCCACAGGGACAGGCAACTACTCTTCATAATCATCATCAGCCACGGTCGATCCACTGCTGGATGAAAGCATCCCAAAAATCCGCCACCATTATCTCGCCATCCCACAACTCCACGCTTAGCATCTGCACACGCGTTTGTTTCGTCGCTCCGTCTCCTCGGTGGGTGCGCTCGGATAATCAACTCCTACCGGTGGTTAAATATTCTCCGTGTCTTGATATATTCCAAGATTCAATGGCCACGGGCAGCAGTGCGAGGCCGCTACCTGCGCACTGGTGGCGTTACGCCGCCACTTGCCCATCAAGGGCGCCACGTGCGACCACCGTCACCGGGACTGCGAGAGCGTCGCGCAGTTCAGGAGATGTTTGTTCAGGCTGCGGGGTCCCCAGCAATCCACTCACTGAACATCCAACAAAGGAACCAACTGGCTTCTTTCTCCTTGAATCAACAGCACTGCGTTGCACTTAGCCGCGTGAGAGATACACGTGGAAGAAGCAGCTGCCTCCATAATGAGTGGGACATTAAGGAGTCTAGGCCCAAATCTGACTGCGGTGAAGTGCAACCCGTCACTCGCATCACATGGGAGTCTATGGGTCTCTATGCGAGTCGATGGGTCTCGATGTGAGTCTAAGGATTTCCATGTCAATAAAATGGAATCGATGCGGCCAGCCTAGATGCCATCAGAAGGCTTCTCCAACCTCAACAGATGACATTCATAGACTTGTCTGTTGCTTTTCAAGTGCCATACTAAAGAAATTAGACACCACAAGGAGTCGGGAAGTACTGGGTGGAGCTGTGAAAATGTGGTTCTGTGATCAAGGGAGGGAGAGAGAGAGAGCGAAATAAACCTCAGAACTGACACTGCTCCAGAATTTTCGCCTCTCTGCCAGGCCACCCGGCGTGGCGATCCTGCCATTATGAAAACGCACAGAAACACTCGCGAAAAGCTGCGGTATTTTTTGCAGATTTTCTTTTTTTACGGAGCATGAGCGGTGGATTCAAGTCATTCTTCTTACTAACATTTATCGTTACCGGAAGGAAAAAAAAACACCCCCACTACGCTCACAAATTTCCACGGGCTGTAATTATTCTGTCCAAAACAAATATTTGCGTTGCTCCACTGTAAGACCCTGAATGCGTGATTGCCCGTTGTAATGTACAACGCACCAACTAATGACTTGTTCAATTGCACAGGGTTCTGCTCTGAAGGCCAAACAGTCCGAAGCATTCCCTTGCTCGTTCCACTGTGAAACCAGGCTTCTGCACCCCCCACTCGCGCCCCCCCCCTCCACTGCCCCCGCTGGGAATCCTCAGACCTACAGGAGCAGGCGACTGACCCGTGGGTCGGGCTCGAGGTTCCACAGCTGCGGCGCCCACCAGCGGCGCTGTACAGGTCGCCACGGTGCCTAGGAGATGTTAACTACCTCGCCTGGTATACAGGAGGTCGTGGGTTCGATGTAGATGCCTGTGTATTTGGAGTTTGAATGTTCTTGCCGTGGCCGTCTCCGGGTTTTCCCTCCACATTTAGGATCAAGTGTTTGGCTGCTACAAATGTCCACGTGATAAGCCACTTCGTTGAGCGGTTATTTGTGGCCAGGTAGCTTATGGAAAAGAGCTACAGAGTTCATTGGGCCTTACCTGGTAAAAATAAAAAATAGTTTCAGCATAGTTTTAGTTTTGTGCGTGGTGGTTTAAGTATTTTGGCATAGGTATTGAAATATTTTTCACGAATCCAAATATACCTCAGTTCCCAGCAAGTCAGATATGTGATGGTGTACTGTGTTGATAAGTGACAAGCATTAGGACGGCACAATTAACATCACGCCTTGAATGCACGCACGTTGAACTTCTTTCGCACCGTACGTAGCCAACCGCGCTAATCGTAGATGCAGACCACCATCTCCATGAGAGCTGGCATCATCATCAACAGCCATTATCTTTCTACTGCTGGATGAAGGGCTCCTCAAGCCATCACCATCCCCCACAGACTTGTGACCGAGATCCACGTAGCCTCCTGCACACGCGCTGATTTCATCGCTCCGTATCTCGGGCGTGTTTCCTCATCTTGGCTGTCACTCCATCGTAAGTCTCGACCACCACCCATCGTACCGTCCAGCGATGTGTCCTGCCCAAGCCCAGATACTTTTCCCGGCTGTCAATATGACAATTCTAACTTGCGTATGTTCTCGACTCTACGTGTTCCTCTTTCTGACCCTCGGTGTGCTCTCGAGCGAGCACCTCTCTCTCTAAGCTACTCTGACCGCACTTTAGCTGTCACTACAAATTCGTTGGCGATGTCCACGTTTCTGGTCCAAATATCAAAGCAGATGACGTGCAGCGATTGAAAACTTTATTCTGTAAGGCGCATTGGTGTTTTTGCTTTTCTGCGTGGCACTGCAGAAGCACCAAAGTCCCTACTCTGCACAAAAACACACACACACACTTTCCATTGCTACCACATTCTAGCTAGATTTTAAGTTTTCGTTACTGCAAGGATTCATACTCTTTGTTATTTTCGGTAAAGTCATGTAGGTAAAAAAATAAAATAAATTCAATCACGACGTTTCGGGCGCAACACAAGCATCCTTCTTCAGGTGGGGACAACTTAGCCCGAAACGTCGTGATTTAATTTATTTAAATTTTTTACCTTTACCAAAAAAACCAAAGAGTACACATTCTAGCTCTGCAGTAACTTACCAAGACCTACCAACTGACGCCTACAAGCCAACACAATTTAAAAACACCCTATATCCAGTCATGACAGCAGCAGGCAGCACACACCACTCCCTACTCGCCACCTCAAACACACACCACCCATTACAACAAACGCATACACACACACACGCTCATTGCTACACACACACACAGAAACAACACTCATCACAACACGCGCTACTTTTCATCGTGAGCACACCACCACTCATCAATACAGACACACACACACATCGGTCATTACTAATCACATACACACAACCACTCATCACCGCACAGACACACCATGACAACACAGGACAGGACAACACGCCCCACGCACCCCCAAGTTATTTGTTTACCGTTTCTCCCATTCTGTTTGCTTGTTTGTTTAATGTGTTTGTTGATTTTGCTCGTCAGCTTGAGGGGCGCTTCAGCCTGGCGCTGTGTGTATGCTTTGGCTGAAGCGTCTGGGATTTTAAAAATCTTTACAAGTCAAAATTCTACGGAACCCATGCCCGACTCCTCCCCCCCCCGACTCAACGCATGACATTTCGTTTGTCATGAAGCAATTATCCCTGCGTCCCTCACGAGGGAACGGGTGGTGTGCTGGATAATTAGGCCCGTGAAACTTACCACGTCGCCCAAGTCTCCCTTCTCCCCTCTATCTCCCTTCTCTCCCTGCAAGGCAGCAGCAGCAGACAACAATCCAATATTATTCATCACACTCGCCGCAAATGCTGCCAATGTGTCTATAACAAAGCTACTGTGTGTATATACATGAATGTGTTTTTTTTAAATAAAAATGAATGAACTATTTAAACAAAAATTATCATTAACAACTCTGTAAAAAAATATATTGCCAACAGGGCCAGAAAAACATAAGGTCAGCCGCAAGCTCACCAAATTGAACTCGGCTTGTAACAGCGGCTAATTGTAGCCACGGTTTTCCACGCTCGAAATAAAACTCACGACTTCAGCCGGTTCCCCTCCTGTGCCGCGTGCGGCGGCCGGGGCCATGTGCGTCTGATTATGCGTTTGGCAGCGTGCGTCGAGCGAGGCTTCCAGCGTGCGTGTGTGCGCGCGCGTGCGCGTGTGTGTTCGCTACTTATCGGTGAGGCACATCGTAATAAAGTGAATAATGAAACTATAAAGGAGCCCTGCCGGTGATTAAAAGACGGGCCCCGCGTGCGGCCATTACTCACGAGGCTGCCCCTCTTGAGCGTGTAATCTGCCGCTCTCTACAGTAAAACGTCTCCAGATGCTCCCTGGCGGTGAACGAATCCCTGATAAGGGCTCTTCAAATCCAGCAATTTGAAGGATAAACATATCGCGGGAACATTTGAGCAAAATAACCATAACGTGATTTACCTGCTTCCTTTATGATTTTCTTTTTTTTTTTAAAGCCCTTCTCCTCTTTCGGGTTTCTTTGTGTGTGTGTGGGGGGGGGGGGGGGGGGGGGGGGGTGTTCAGGACATGGAGGGCCCACCGGCGAAGGTCGGCAGGGTGCCCATGGAGGGGCAGCCCCAATGGGTACTCGTGACCTGGCCCGCCGCCCCCCCCCCTCTCTCGGGAACGCGGGGGGGGGGGGGACCCCATTGTGGGCTCCCAGGCCAGAGGCCATTATTTCTCATCTTCTCAAGCATTCAGCTAATTTTGGCCTTCGTCTGAACTAAAGACGCCTGTGTTCTGGCCAGACATCGGGGTGAATAGACTCGTGTTGCTCTCGAGAGGTGGAGCCATTTAGGCAGCCGAGCGCTGGGCTGCGGCAAGTGTTTGCGTCGCTGTTACGGCAACATACAAATCCGAGTCTTTCTCAGCAAGTCAGTCTTCCTATCCTTTTAATGACTAAGGTGGTGCATTATTTGGTTTTAACATCGGTGTCAGCAGAAATAGTGGCGGTCGGGCTTGTCCGCGTGGTAGGAGTGTTAGGGTGGTGGGTGGCCTGTTCAAGTTGTGAGGCGTTAGAATTGTGGGATGGTGAGGTGGCAGCTTGCTGGGGTCCTGGGGTGTGATGTCTACGAGTTGTTTGGGTGGTGGGTTGTAGGGGAGGTGGGTTGTTCTTCTTGGTTCTTTCGGTAAAGTCACGTAGAAGAGAAATAATAAAATAATAAAAATAAAACATAATAAAATAATTATCACGACATTTCGGCCACAACGCAAGCAGCCGTCCTCAGGTGAAGAACAGGTCTGTCGGAAAGACAGCGTCGTGAGAATTATTTGATGTTTTATTTTTTATTATTTTATTATTTCCCTTCTACGTGACTTTACCGAAAGAACCAAGAAGATGAATCCTTGCAGTCACGAAAGCTTTAAATCGAGGTGGGTTGTGTTATGAGAAGGGGCGTCGGGATGGAAAGTTGTTGAGGTTGTGGGGTTACGTTGTGATGAGTTGTTGGGGTGTTTGAGTGGCGTGGGTTGCTGGGTGACGTCATCGCACACTCACATGGCGCCCAGGTAGGCCCGGAGTGCCTGGCATCCCATCGGCGCCCGTCAGCCCATCCAGCCCCTGCGCACACCGCACGCACGCAGCTCTCGTTACCTCCTCGTACCATTAATAGCCCCGGCAGCCAATTGGAATGTGCAAATTAAAGTCTGCTGCCTTTGAAAGCAACGACGTGATGACAATGAGCTCATGCTAGAGTTGTTCTGTCATCAGGCACCGAGCAGAATAACCATGACAGGTGTTTAAAAAAAGAAACACAAAATTCCAGGATTGAAATTTCACCGCTCATGTTGGCTTTGCACCATTACCAATCAGAAAGACTCACATGGTGCACAGTACTTTCCGATTCATGATTTCATCGGGTGCGATTTCTTTGGGGAAAGCGTTGCCTCCATAACTAATCATAGGGCAAACTGACGAAGCCATATGTTTCCTCCGTTTCACCAGGGATGTGAATTGGACCCCGAGAGTGTGAACCAGGGCTCATGGCCACCTCCGGCTGGTGTCACCAGTCCCAAACCATGGCAGAAGAGCAACTGCCTTGGTCCAAGGCTGTAGCTTAAAAATTGCAAAAGCGATGCCCAAAGGCCATTGACAGAGTGGAAATGCAGTTAGGAGGTGGTGCCCAGGACTGGTTTAGACATTGCTGACCACTGATTTTAGTTGTGGCCAGGTATCAAACTCAGCTGGCTTGGATTCGTAGCTAAGTGTGCTAACCACACGCCAACACTCCCACCCGTAAAAGGCCTCTTGACTGGTTTTAAAAAGAGACAATGCATCTATTTATGTAGCTGAGCATGCGATGCTGGCCGGAGGAGGTCAGCCAAGGAAGGACTTACCGAAGGCCCTGGCAGTCCCAGCTCCCCCTTGTCTCCCCTGGGCCCCGTGTGCCCCGGGAGGCCAGGGGGACCAAAGTCCCCTTTGAGCCCCATGGGCCCTTCCTTGCCGGGAAGCCCCGATTCTCCTGGGTCCCCTGTCTTGCCACGTGGGCCCTGGCAAAGAGAACAGCGTCTCTTTGAGGCCCTTCTCACCTCGAGCAAAATCCATTGACTCAGAGACTCATTTCTCAAAAAAAAATTTGATTTGGGTTACGGACAGACAGGAGTAGGTGGCACGCGACTAGTAGCCTACAGCCATAGTTGAGAGGCACTGTCCAGTGTGTGGTCATCCAGAAGAGACCAATACAACATATAACGACGCATCATCCGATACACAAATACGAAGGAGACATCACAGCCACACACGACGCTGCTCCTAACGCGGTTGTCTGGCTTGACCACCTGAATGTGAAAGTGCGGTCGTTGCTCTGCATGTACATCAGCAGCCGTACGACAGGAAGAAATAATAAAGTGCGAGATATACTGGACAATTGTGGCTGGGTGTGGGAATATTTCCTAGGTCACTGTCCCAGACACACCCAGATGAAATTAAGCCATGTTTATACTGATATCTCTCATATCTCTCGCACGTGCAGCGGATATACGCCTAGTAAACATGCAATGCAGGGCCAACGTTAGAATGTGGTTCGAACCGTTGGACCAACATTGGTTCAACGTTCCATGTTTACTGGGTATTGTCAGATACTGGCTCCCATCCCAACAAGGCAAATCATTGATTAAGACCTCCGAAACATCACCTCACCTTTTCGCCGTCCAATCCAGGAGCGCCAGGAAGTCCCATTTCACCCTGAGCAAGGGAGCACACACGTAACACATGTTATGGACACACCACGCACACATGTCGCACACGCACCACAGAAGCAATGGCCGCATGCCATGCGCACACACACACATTGGTCCATCATACGTATATGTGTATAAACTATTTTAATTTTACCAGGTAAAGCTCACTGAGCTATACGGCTCTTTTTCAGAAGCAACCTGGCCCCAAATGAAAGGTCAACAAAGTGGATAATCGCGTGGAAATTTATAGCAGCCAAATACTCGAAACACATGTTAATTCTAAATGTCGAGAGAAAAACCAGTGTAACCGAGTAAAAATCCACGCAACCATGGGAAGAACATGCAAAACTCCAAATATACAGCAGGCGTCAGCGTCAGGATTGAACCCACGACCTCCTGTACAACAGGCGAGGTAGTTAACACCGCGTCCCATATGCCACAGACACATGCCATTGGCACGCACATACCATGGTGATGTCAACCTCTATCATAGCAACACACAACTTCTGTCCTGCGCATCGCTCCGCACTGTGTGCGTTGCTTGTTTAAGTGTGGCCAGATAATTCTCACGAGAACAGGATGAAAATGCGGACCGGTCTCATTCACACCAAAAGCTCACGAGCTAACCACAGGGCCCAGAGGCTGCAGGACCAGTGAGCTGAAGGAGTCAAACGGTTTTGTCGTCTCACCGGATTGAAGGTGGTGCCAGAACGTGCAGTCGTCACATATCACTCTCTAACATGAACCTACAGGCTACAGCCACCGGTGTAAAGATGCTGATTAACCATCGTCACTGTCATCATCACTGTCATCATCATCATCATCGTGAGACATGGTTTATCCACTGCTGGATGGAGATCTCCATGCACTGTCACCATCTCTCGCTCCTGCCTACATGAGCTGATCCCATCGTGCCACCTGCACGGTGTTCCGTCCTGTTTTTGTTGTTCTCTCTTCCGGCTGCCATTCCATCATCACACGCCTCATGCATTGGCCATCGTCCCTCCTAGAGATATGTTTCGCCCAAGCCAGCCCAATGAACTTATTACTGTTATGTATAGGGGCGCCGCGGTGGCGAGATGTTGACCACCTCGCCTGGTCTGCGGGAGGTCGTGGGTTCGATCCCAACCCCGACGCCTGCTGCTGCTGTATATTTGCAGTTTGCGTGCTCTTTCTCCCTGTGGTCACGTGGATTTTTTTCCAGGTCCTTCCGGTTTTCCCCTCCACGTTTATAAACATATGTTAAAACCATTTGTCTGCTACACATTTCCACATGATAAGCCACTTCGTTGAACTAACATTTGTGGCCGGGTCGCTTCTGAAAAAAAATCTACGTAGCTCAGCGGGCCTTAAATGCAAAAATAATTCTATTGGTTACAAATTTAAGTCTCGTTACCTTCTGCCCAGGTGGGCCGGGTGGGCCCGGAGGTCCCTAAGGGAGAGGAGGAAAAAGAATGACGAGTGTAAAACTGTTCCATTGCGTGATTCTGTACGAGCAACACTTCGCGTCGGGGGAACAGCGATCACGCAAGCGGCGCATGGATGGGAGGCTGCAGGCAAACACGAGCAGCGGAGCGCGGGCACGCAACGCCAGGCAGGCATCCGCACGCAAGCATGGCTCGTAAGGGGGGGGGGGCGGGGCGGGCAGCAGCGGTGGCGGTGGCACGGGCACGTTGCTCGCGGGAGGAGCCCGTGCCACCGCGGCCCGCTCAATGCAATCGTTTTAGTGCGGCGGGCGTTGTCGTGATGCGTTGTTACGCAACATCTCACACGGGGGGGCAGGGGGGCAGGGGGGCTGGGGGACATGACACACGCGGGTACGATGCACGCGCATGCTGTGTTACGGCGCCCGCACGAGGGGTCAGCGTTGATCGGTGGTCGGGAAGCATTTTTAGGGGGCTGGGCGAGTGCTTCGGGTGACCCTCTGCGCTCACGACGGGTCCCAGCTCAACGTAAAAAAACAAAAATGACATTAAGAATCCCACACGGGATTGCTTTGGGTCTCCCCGTCCTGGCACAGGTAGACGGACAAAGTGTACTCCGTGGGAAATATAATCTCAAAGGGAAAACTGGCGCACGTGTGCACGCGCGCGTGTGTGTATATAGAGCATACCATATGCGTCGAGTTACGTACACAGCCTTGTATATACGCATGTATTGGACAAATGGTGACTGCATTTTGAAAGCAATGTTAGTAAATCATTGCCACATGCAGCGCAGCGAGCGCCATCTGCAAGGAGCTGACCTTTTAACAAGATATGTGTATGGATACGTTAAGTAGAGCCAATCTCACTTAACTCCCTGCGCTCGCGTTCCCAGGGACCCTTGAATAAGCATGGTGAGAAGGCGGCGTGGTGTTGCTCAGAACCACTCAGGTTGACCTTTCACCGATGTACATTCTCTTCTCCCCAGAGCGGTTAAACCTCCCCGATATCTGTACCGGCAACGGCAACGATCCTGGTTGTACTTTCCTGGGGCAAGCCAAAGCCTGCTCCGCTGGGACCCAGCGCAGGTTATTAAGGGAGGTGAAAAATGAACATTTTGAGGAAACTCTTCTGGGGGTGGAAGTTTCTCCCAACTCGGTAGGAGAGCTGATGATGCCCCCCCCCACCCGGGTGTGCATGGGACACCCGTCGCGCTAAATGCCAGCATCGTCACAAATCGCCAATTACCATGAAGGCCAGCGTTTTCACTGCCTGCAGAAGAGAGAGTGAGGCGACACGGAAATTACTGCGATGTCTGCTCACGGACGAGGCACACTCACTCACTCAAGAGCGGCGTCACGTGCACGCCGTCACGCACGCACACTCGCCAGCCAGTTCGTTCACGCACTCACGCGCGCACGCGCCGTCACGCTTCTTAGAAATTATCATCATTATCATTATCATCGTTAGCAGGGCCAATACGATAATTCATTACAGGCTGCTGGACATATTTCCTTTTTACAACTCGAACTTGGCCGAGCTGATTTATGACTCGCGGTGCTCAGTCTCTGGTCGGGACACGACGGAGCCTCTGTAAACTGGGGAGCTTCTGCCGCTCGCAGGAAGAAAGACTGCCAGGATATTCAACGACCCAAACACTCGGCAGGAAACGATCAATTCCCCCGGTGATTCGGTGCAGGTACTGGAGGGGCAGTGTCTTGGAAAACGTTGATCATTACCCCTGTATGTATGTATTTTAAAATAACCTTGTATTGAAAAACTCAATACAAGGATATTTGAAAAAAAAAGTGGCCTTACATCTCCATTTTCCTTTTAAGGTCACAGCGTTATTGACGAATGTGATGGCGTTTTAAAATGTAATCGTGCCTGCGCCACTGCCAACACAGCGGCATCATCAAAATAACGTGGTTAGCTTCTTGCGGTATCATCTCCACGAAACAATGCTCCGTCGCCTTCCCAGAAAACACAGCCTCACTGTGCAAACCGGGGAGTTAATTCACCTAAGCGTTTCCATTCGACTCTAATGGAATTAACTGCATGCGGGACAACCTGGGGGCTTTCAAATGGACAAAAGTTCAGGCCCCTGCAAAGACGCCGCCAAAACATGTCAACGTCGCCCGCTGTTTCACGGAAAGGAGGGAACACAGCGACAAAGGGAACCATACCTGACCCTTCCAGTCTGCGTGCATCGATGTAGAAGGAAAAGTGGCGTTAATAATCTCCGACGCGGAACATTAGCAAATCTCTTCATACAAATTAAGTTATCAGCCTGTTTTAAGCTTTGCCGACGCGAGCAAATACTTTTCTCTCTGGCCCTCCTGTCCAATAGGAATTCCCTGGCCCATTTAGAGTTCACCTGCCCGTCTGTGAACCCACCTGATGTCCACCCGTTTGTCCACCTGTATATTTGCCTGTGTCCACCTCTCCTCTAACCCACGGACAGTGTGTCACCCTGGCAAGAGTAGTGGCGCAGTGGTTGGCGTGCTGTGCTATAAACCCAGACACCTGGGCGTTATTCGTGGCTAACATCAGTGGCAGAAATCTGAACTGGTCTTGGATCTCCCCAAGGTACACTCAGGCTTTAATGAGTACTGGTGATGTGTGTGTGCATCAGCAATGGGGAGACAAAGACGGACAGGTGTTCGCTAACGCCACTTGCCCCAACAGCCTGTCGACACACCTGGCCGTGCATCTATTCGTTCATCTGCCTGTACACCTGCCCACGCTGCATCGGGGGAGGTACAGGGGGCTAAGCCCCCCCCCCCCCATTGCTAATGGCTCAGCCCAATTCTACATCCTTGCAGTATAATGAAGCGATGGGCTTCGCAGCCATTGCTCAACTACACAGGGGCTCTGAGCCAGAGCAGAATGCACGAAGCGGAACGTGCCGTGACTCGTTTTGCTGAGGGTTTCATATTTGAAAAGTTAGTTTAACATTGACTGTGCTGTTCCACCTCCCACCCCACCCCCGGCCCACCATGGGTTTCTGTATGCCCCACTTTTAAACAAGGTCACACGAGAGAAGTGCTGTTCCGACCCCCCCACCCCCCGCCCTCCCCTCGCCCTGTACCTGAAGCGCCTCCTGGATGTCACCATTGTAGTCGATGACCTCGGTGGAACCGCGATCGCCCTTGGGCCCCTCCGCGCCCTGACACGGACACGGCGATGTACATACAGAGCCCACAACGACACGTAACGACCCCCCTGCATAGCCTCCACAGGCTCCTCACGCAGAAGCTGATCACGTGACACGAGCTCCCACAGCTCCAAACAGCCTCCTGGCACAGTCCGAGACAGTCCAAGATGGGAGCTCACCTCTAATTTGGAATGGAAGCTCAATCAATATTTCACTGATGTTACCAGCCACATGCGAGGGTGGTTCAAGCCATTCCCAGACCTTGTTCTAGTAGAACAGAGAGTTTTACATTCCAGGATCATGGCAGCTCCATGTTTTTTTTTATTGATAATCACCGTCCATAGCATGGCAGCTGTTACCAGCAACTACTCACAAACACAGCCACCGCACTCGTAACGACAAAGATCCCCCGTGTAGCCTTAACAGACTTTTGGGGAAAGTGCTGTTAGCGAGCACCTATGAAGGCCGGCACAGCACACGAGGGGGCGGGTGACCAATACCAATCCCATCCACATTTGTCTCCCTCGTGCCGATGTTCACACATTTAAGGACGAGTCGACCCACAGGAGGCCCTAGGACCTGTTCAAATATTTGACATTGTTATTGGTCGTGAGTGGGAATCGAACTCGAGCCGCCAGGCTCACAGTGCAGCCCGCTAACCATTGCATCACACTCCCACTGCCCATACATAGTTATGGGTACATACAGTACACATATATGCAGCGAAACATCAACAGTCGCATCACCGATGGCCATAAGACATGCGCGCGTATGTGCGCCAAAACTATAGTTTGAAGTAATCCGTTACATGTGATTGCCAGAGGTAGGAAAACGTATTTCCAATTAGTACTCCTGGTAGGGGGACGCTGCTGCGATGTAACGGTTGGCAGCACAATGGACTTGGAATCTAGAGGTCACCGGGTCAATTTGATCTCCCACCGTGACAGTTGAAACGACGGTGCACGTTTATCAAGTCCCCCCACTTCAGCGGTATACATGATAGATCACAGTTAGTTGATTGGCAAGTCGTGTGTGATGGAAGAGTAGGCCAAATATCTTCCAGAGGGGCTCTCAGAAGTACCCTCTAGTGGAGTCCCTTCCGCCGGCAGCGAAGTGAGCAAGACATTGCAGGGCTGTGCTTCTACGCATGTAAATAGTGTTGAACTTCTTTCGGACCGTACGTAGTCAACCGTGCTACTCAGAGGTGCGGGGGAAGGACAACAAGCTAAACACAAAAATCAGTTGCAAATATAAATTAGTGTTCAATCGAGATTTAAAAGTCCATAGCTCCAGTGGCTTCCTAATATCGGAAGGAAGAGCAATCCAGACGGCCGCAGAAGCGCGTCTGAACACGCGCGATGAAGTGACCGTCTTTGTTCGAGGGCTTGCCAAAAGCCGCTGCGAGGTTGACCGGAGTTCGCGTGACGGTACCGTTTCCTCTTGGTGGAGACAAAAATTAATGTTCCGTTTGGCTGTGCCACTGGCCGGCAGGGCCGAGGGTGCTCGTGCGTACCTTGGGACCCATGGGGCCTATGGGGCCTGGGGATCCAAGTTCTCCCACGTCGCCCTTCAAGCCACGCTCACCCTGCGCACCGCACAGACGGACGGGGCAGGGAGCGTTACGGCACAGCTGAGACAAGCCAGGCTCAATCCAGATTCTATACCGGTCTGTGGGCACAACCGTCATTCATGTGTGTCTCTGTACATACATGTGCAAGGGTATTAGAAACACACGTACGCATTCATATACCATATTGTGTCCTGGAGTGATGGTGCGGTGGAAAGCGCACTGCGCTACAACACCCAGCGAGCCGAGGTAGATTCCTGGCCATGGCTAACAACAATGGGAAGTGAAATCTCAGCCGGTCCGAGACCACCATTCACCAACCCGCACCTGACCAGTGTGGTGAAGTATGGTCAAACAACACCAATCACTAACAAAACATGGGAAGGCCTTCATCTAGCAGTGGATTGACAGTGGCCTGTACATCATTATACAAATGTGCATAGACGAGTAACTCGTAGCAAGCTTTATAACAATAGGTTTTACCCTTTCTGGAAATAAAACAGGTGTTAAGATGTTAAAAACACCAAACTGAATAATGTTTCCGCATTAACCACACGTACTTGTGGTGAACATGCAAACAAAAAGATGCTCTGATAATATAAGATGCATTGTCGTTGAGACTGATTGGTCCACACCCAAGACAGCTTTCTTGTGAGCCCAGAGAACACCAAAAGGCTAAAAGGCGAACAGCGTTTGCCTGATTTGCATTGGCTTAGTATCTCTCAGGTCACTGATGATGGTGAAGGGTATTTGGTGGTGGTGATGGTTGATGTTGAGGAACAAACACCTCTCTCTCTCTGCCACTCACCTTGCTGCCATTGAGGCCAGGTAACCCGGGCAGGCCGTATGCGCCGCTGTCTCCCGCATCCCCCTGGGAAACGGAAGAGTGGTGGAACCACCACGCACCGTGGCGTTGTTATCCGGTTAAATTCACAGCGACATTGCTGCCCGTGTCACTTTGGCTGCAACAGCCCCAATTTCACGTCTCTGGTGTTCCCTGCGACTGTCGATGAACAGAACGGGACGTTTCCTTGCGGGTGCTGCTCCTTGGTGAAGCGAAATCAACTTGGAACTTAAACCGGACAGCAGCACTCTGCCACACTCCCAAATATTTCGATTTAAAGCTTCTTTCGTGACTGCAGGGATTCATCTTCTTGGTTCTTTCGGTAAAGTCGCGTAGAAGGGAAATAATAAAATAATAAAAATAAAACATGATAAAATAATTATCACGACGTTTCGGTCACAACTGAGGACGGCTGCTTGCGTTGTGGCCGAACGTCGCGAGAATTATTTTATTATTATTTTATTATTTTATTATTTCCCTTCTATGTGACTTTACCGAAAGAACCAAGAAGATGACTCCCAAATATCTCCATGAACCTGTACCCCCCCCCTACCCCCACCTGCGGGGCTTCATGCGCAGTGCTCCACAGCCGCCTCGTGAGTCACAGAGCGAGGGGATCGGGGTCTTGTGGGACTGGGGGACCAAGTCCACATGGCTCACCTTCACTCCCGGGAGGCCCTGCAGGCCGGGCATACCCGGCAGTCCGGGCATTCCCGGTTCCCCCTTGACAGCGACGAAAGCCGAGGCGGTGCTCACTTCTCCCTTCTCACCCTTCAAAGGTTTTACGGGAAAGTGGGCAGCCAGGGAGGGTAGGTGGGAGGGGTGGGGGGCGAAAGGGGGTGCGTGCAGGTCGTGAGTTGAGCAGCAACAACCACAAACACAACTCGAGGCGAATGGGCAGTGAAGCGAAAGACGTGGGGCTCTGGACCGGTGACGGAATGGAATGAGATTGACGGATGGGAGCGATGCCAGGAGGCAAAGTCGGAATTCACAGCGCTGCCGACTTGGCTTTCCTTAGACGATGCACACTGCCTGACCCACAGGCCCTGCAGGGCTTTATTTCGACCGGGTCAATCTGGATCCGTGGCCCAGAAAACATTTACACACCCAACGCATCACGTTCAGTATGCCTCTCGCGATGGTTGTGTGGCTACTTCAGCAACCCTGAATATATTCAGTGAGACATTTAATCCTGGGCACAGAGATTGGTGGAAGAATAACTTAGGGACATCTGAATAATCACTGTCCATTTTTCCCCATTCGGGGAGAGTCGGAGGCCTAGGTGAATTACTGTCGTCATTTAGATAAGTCAGATGATCGAGGTCAATAAGTGGAGCTACTTGTGGTGTAAGTGTGTAGCCAGGGCAGACTTTGAAATGAGTAGTGGTCGTGCGGAAGGCACATCAATGGTATCGAAACGTAGACAGTGTTGGGCGTAGACTCAAGTGATTGAAGCATCCGACAAGGGAGGGTTCTAGCGCATTACATTTGCACTCCTCCCCATCAGTCTCCTTGACGCCGCGACCTCGGCAAACTTAAAGTGCTCAAGCAAGGCGACACTCTAGAAGAATTACAATCAAGTGACGCGCTCGCAAACACGGCTTAATGTGGCCAACATCGGCGCTGCTTATACAACCCCAGGGACGTTTCCAAAACAGAGCTTCACTCGTTTGCACTCCATGACTCCGTGTTCCCATGAAAGTGGGGTTTACTGTGTCCAATTAAATGTAACCTTTGCGTGATCCCTCGTCGGAATAATCTACCGCCTGCCCGCGGCCGCCTAATGACATCAATCCTCGTGGAGAAAAATCTGGAGTCCTTTCTATTTCCGTCCCTGTCGGCACAATCGCCCCTTCTCCGTGCCCGTGCCTCGGGGCCAGCCGTGCCGGGCCGACATCGCGTGCGGGGCGTGGCACGGCCACGGCCTGGGGGTGGAGGGGTTGGGGAACGAACGGTCGAGCAGGAGGTGACCAGATGGCTCTCGGCAGCTAGAGACACCGAGACACCTGGTCACCAGCGCCTGCTGAGACGCTGGGTTTTGAATTCGGGGTTTGGCCGCCCGACTGTGATTTGACCGGGTTCTCAAGTGAAGCCGAGTTCATGACGGTCTCAACCTGATCACCAGTGAATCTACCACAAAACGATTATGCTGCGTGTTTTTTTATGTTAATTAGTCGTCATTGATGTTTATGTATTGCTTATGTAGTTTTTGTTATTTATTTGTACATTTTCTCTCCTTTGCACCCCTTTCGTTTTGGCATTGGTTTGTTGTTGTAACTTGCTGACCCGGCCCTACTGGACGTCCGTGAAAAGAAAGCTTCATAAGCTCGTCGGATTCCTCCGGGATAAATCAAAATTCCTAAATTATAATAATGATGAAGATTCTGAAATGCTGAGATTTTAAATAATCGGTGTGACTGCCATCGGCCGGATATTTCTCTGTGACCAAGATGAGCGGGTGGTGCATCGTCCCCGGAATGACTGTCGATAGAAAAAAAAAAAAACAACTTGACGGGATCTCAGAACGCAGTATCTGCCCGATCGCGCCATTCTCGTGACCGGAGACGGATGCGCTGCTCTGTGGATTCGCCTCTCCGTGACACGACGACGCAATTTGGGACCACATTGGGAAGGGGACAAAAAGTATAGGGCACAAGAGGGCGAGCATACTGCACGCACGTGCCACAACACAAGCACGGCATGTGCTCACGCACAGGGCACATGCACATCACTGCAAGACCACTGCCAACTACCCTCATTATATTTACCAGCTAGACACATCCTGCAAACTCTTGGGTGGCTGAGCTGTCAACACCCATTACCGCCTGGCACGTAGTAGAAGATGATGCATCGATGTATGTTGAACTTCTTGCGTAGCCGACCGCGCTAATCGGAGGTGCGAAATTTTTAATTGACTGTTACACTCACCAATCAAGCACCACATCGTACTAATTATTCTGGATTTCTCTGTACTGAAGGTGATTGGTTCACGTGACCACTGCACGCCAATAGAGGTGCTACATTCATTGAAAAATAACGATCAACGAATCAAATTGAGAGGTCAGCGAATCAGTAAATTGATACTCGCCACCAAGCTGGTTTGAATGGATTTGACGGTTAGATTTCTGCTACAGCTCACTGAAGTATTCCATCCACTGAAAAGTGGAGGTTATGTAGAATAATGTGACGTGAGTCATGAGGGTCAGAAATTGCGTGCATGTGTCAGCCTCGTGGCCAAATTTTAAATATACAAAATTACCAGCAAATATAACAAAATATCATCTAAATGTATCAATAAAAAAACTTAAAAAACTGAAACCAGAAATAATTTTACTGTGCAAATATCACTCCGGGCATGCTTTTCCACGACATCATCATTCAGATGCACCGATCAGGCCCATGCTTTACGTCACGACATCACCACTCAAGATGCACCAATCGGGTGCATGCTTTAGCGGCGAGGCACCAAACGGGATGCATGCATTTCAGCGGGATCGTACCGTGGCTCCTTTGCGTCCGGGGATGCCAGGGCGGCCCAGATGGCCTGGGCCACCGGCTTCCCCCTTTGCGGACAAAGTCAGGGGGGCAATTAGCAACACGACTCAAACACGCAACCGCAGGACTTGCCACCTGTCCTGGACTTTCCACCATCGTTCTGTTTTTTTGAGATAGCTGTCCTTGCGAATATACGCAGGTCGTCCCAGGACATTGCAGTCCTGTTTTTATTTTGTCAGTTGTGAAACAATGATAATACTACTACTACGACACGCGGAGTTCTCCGCACTGCCGGTATTGTAAGACTTTCTTCACCTCCCCATCACAGAGGTGGCAACCTGTAACAGCCACTCTGTGGATTAATTAAGTAATACAAAACGACTGTCGAAAAGCTATGCAAGACGTATACATCACATAACGATGGCGATTGTTTTGCCATTTAATATGGTAGATGGGAGAATGCAGAAAAAGATCTGTTTCAATTTGAAACACTTGTCTGAAGGTATTTGGATAAAATGGCCTAAAAACGCTCGACCTCGGTGACTACCCGTGTTGAGACTTACACGTGGGCTTGCAAAAATAATCTAACAAAAAATAATAACCACCAACAACAACACACGTGTTGGGCCTCCGATGTTGTAGTGGAGCTGTAAGCTGGCGTTTGGAGAGATACATCAAATCGTGGTAGCGGTTACAGCAGTATACGTGTCTGTTGCGTTGTTTACCAATATGCCGCCTGCCAGCAAAACAGAAAGATACCGACACTGCCAAGTCAAAGCTAAGACTCTGCAGTTATCTACCAGAATGGTTTTACGCTGGCTGGGAGAACAAGTATGAATGTACTGCACTTGAATTTGCATTCGTCATGTATGTTCAGACCAGACTGGAACATAACAGGATTGATGCCTACGGTGGAGCTGACATTCCTACAGAGTGCGCACCACTCGGGCAAGTATGGGATGGTCAAGATAAGGGCACGGTTTTTGATGGTCACAATTTCTAATGGGACTTCAGGAAAAAAATACATCCACCACACTTGTTAACGCAGGATAAACTCGCCGAGTCTCAAGGCTCTTTCTCAGGAGGGTCCTGCCGAGTGTTTTCTCAGGGGGGATGTTGCAATGTGCATTCTCAAGTGAGTGATTGACAGGTAGCTTTATTTTCTTCTTCAGAATTGGGATGTTTTGGCCAACACCAGTTGATGGTGTATGCTTATCTTTTTGCTATGGGAGGAAACCCATGCAGATCAGGGACAAAAGATTGGAACTCTGCACAGAAAGGCGCTCGACTTGGCAATCGGAACCCAGACGCTTCTTGCTGCGAGGCGCACAAGCATTAGCGACTGCGCCACCCTTGGGCGGAAGTCACAACCGCAGGCCTGCGGAGAGCGATAGTTCTCAAGAGGAGCGCCAAGGCAGCGTCAGGCTGCAGCAGAATGCTGGCAGTACCGGCACGAGTTCAAGCGGCGCACCTTCCCCATACATCACGGCGCCGAGCACTCGCGCACTAAACCACTACCGACAGAACACAACGCAACAACACGAGCCCGCCAGTGACATCACCGCCTGAAATTAATACAGTTTGTAAGCGTTTATAATGGGTGCCGCATTTAAGTTTGCACTGCGCGTCGCACGTGCTGCCCCCCCCCCCCACTGGTCCCGTCTCATCTTGTAAACCCCGGGGTCTGTGGTTTGGAGAACTCTTTACTCGCAAAACACACAACAGATGCTCCCCTTATGTCGACCTGAACTTAAAAAAATAGGCTTGGCTACCGAATCTCAATACCCCCCCCCCTCGGCACCCCTCCCGCCCCACGCCCACGACCATCCCTGCCACGCAGAGGCCCAGGCCAATGTGGCTGCGACAAAAAGCCCTCAACTGGCTCTTCATAATTGTAGGTTTGACAGGTAAATGGGTAGCTCAGGGGTGAGAGCTCGGAGACGGCGGTGATGAGATCGTGGCTTCGCATCCGGATTTCAGCCGCCCGTGATTTAAATGGGTTCTCGAGTGCAGTGAGCCGATGGTTTCAGCCTGGCCGACCACAGTTACACAAAAAAAAACATCGCGAAAATTTGGGATTTTCCACCAAAAAATGTCCGGTACTGAGAATGAAAAATGTGGGTTTCACGGCCATGCGATGAACATTTCTCTGCAGCAGGGCACGTGCAACAGTGCGCCTCCGAATGTGAAGGACTTCCAGAAGCAGCTCTTATGCTATCTGCTGTCACGTGCTGTTCTCTAACACGAGGGGCAGCGCCGGCCTGTTCGCGTTCTGAATGGGTGCTTTGTCTCGTGACAGGATGGCAATGCCACAATTGGAATGAAAAGGAGAAAAGACAAAACACGGGAGAAGAAGTGTGACGTGGCGGAGAGAGAGAGGGCACGGGTGACAGGAGGAGTTGGGCTTCGCGATGCAGAGGCACATTACCTTGAGGCCTGGAAAGCCAGGGGGCCCAAGCAAGCCTGCCTCGCCCTGCCCACGGGAGAGGCACAAGCGGAGGAAGGAGGCAAACAGAGAAAAAATGAGAGATGCGCTTATATCTAGACACACACAGGCCACATGCTGGTGTGTACCGATGGCATTTGACTCACAAGACGGTCAGGCTTAAGTTGCACATTGCGGTAAGTATTGTGCTAACAGCACAATCCTTATAATCAGTGAACCAAGTCATCTGCCTCCCGCGGAGTGTGATATTATAGGATAAATAGCAGCTGCTGGTTACAAGTGGATACATACAAACATGGCAACACACACACACATACAAACACACCGACTTTGACTAACACCTCACACAAAATATATTTATTTTATTTTACTACTTGTTTATGGAACACCGTGAACTGAAAACCCCACTAAATGCGAGTTTAACAGCTCCCCGGAGCCGATAGTAAGTTTTATGATTCCGAGCAGGGCTTGAATTTGAGAGTAGCGTGGGCTTCCCCCATCACCAAACACAACGCTTGTTGTCGTAAAAGTCGTTCGTGAGCCGAGGGGGCAGTCAACAGCTGAGGGAGGGAGAAAAGGCGAGGGGTGCTGAGCATGGGGTTAAAGCCATAAGCCCAGCAACGGAGCACAGGTATGTGACGCGGGGACGTAGCAAAGGGACGCGACACAGAGATGTATATGTGTACGTGTGTTGAACTTCGTACGCACCGTACGTAGCCGACCACGCTATTCGGAGGTGCTCATGAACGTAGCACAGGGGACATAGCACAGAAAAGAAGAGGGGGGGGGGGGAGCATCACCTTCTTTCCCGGGAGCCCAGGGAGACCGGGAAAACCAGGATCCCCCTGCGAGATGGAGAGAGACAGAGGGATAGAGAGCAGCAGTTAGGGGGAGAGGGAGACAGGGAGAGAGGGAGACAGGGAGAGAGGGAGACAGGGAGAGAGGGAGACAGGGAGAGAGGGAGACATGGGTTATAAGAGAAACATGTCGATATGGAGAGTGGGAGACAGGGAGACAGAGAGAGAGAGGGAGGCAGAGCATGACAGAAAAGTTGGTATTAAATTGAGAAAAGAGGCAGCACAGGGGACGGCGGACCGGGTGTAGGGGGGGGGGGGCACCTTGATTCCGGCCGCGGCGGATCCCGCCCCCCCCTGGAGCAGGGACCGGATCGCAGAGTCCGGCACGAGGAGGGGTCGGCACAGAGACGCAGAGACGCACAGCAGCAGGGGTCAGAGGTGACGCTCAAGAGCGGGAGCCGCACGGGGAAGGGAAGGTGAGGCTGAGGCTGCACGCTCGCGACCCTGCGTGAGCAGGCTGGGCTAGAGCTGTGGAGTCCTCATGCTAAGAGGTAAGAGGGTGGTGGGGCCTTGAAGTCAACCAGAGGCGTCACGGCAGCCAGACGTTAACTACCTCGCCTGGTATACAGGAGGGCGTGGGTTCGATCCCGACCCTGATGCCTCGATATATGGGGCTTGCGTGTCTCTCTCCTGGCTTTCCCCTCCACATTTAGAAACATGCGTTTAGAAAATTTGGTTGCTGTACATTGCCACATGATAAGCCACTTCGTTGAGCTATCACGTCTATGCTGCCCACCTTCACCAACCCGCACAGGACCAGCGTGGTGAAGTATGGTCAAACAACCACCATGGCCGACACAGCATTGGAAGGCCATCACCAGCAGTGGATTAACATCAGAGCTACTTTTTTTTATTTTGGAGCCCTTAACCTGTGCATATATACTCGGTCGCTTAGACGGTGGGTGTCCTATTTATATAGCGGTCCTTGGCATAGCAATGTGGATTTTTAAACCGCAGGCTCGGGACCGCCAGTGTTGAAATGGAGATGGGCACTCGTTTGGGTGTGAGGACACACGTTTAGACCATTTTGTTTGGCTGTCAGGCGACTGATCGCTACGGCCCCCCCACCCACCCACCACCTCCCCCACCCCCTCACCTTGGGCCCTGCTGGACCTGTGGGCCCCATGGGCCCTGGGAAACCTTGGGCACCCTGAGTAGGAACGACAGAGATGCAAGGGGGGAGGAAAATGAGGAGAACGTAGATTCAGGTAAAGCGTAAACAAAGGCGTCCCCTGTGCAGTGGCCTCGAGGACGAGAGAACGTAAAGGAGATGCAAGGAGCACTTCCTGTGCGATTATTGTGGGGAGCCCCTCGGAGTGGCGGTTGTCGATAGTGGTTCTCTGGCAGTGTCTGCTGCTCGTCGCTTTCGGGTTGAGGGGGTTTACGAACCCCCCCCCCCACCCCAGCTTTTCCAGTGGCAGGTGATGTGTGCGGGTGAATTCATTGCTGAATGTAACACGAGTGTGTGGTGATGATGATGATGATTTAATGAGACACGTGATATCAGGTTGACGATCGACAGGGAGAGTGGGACGGGCAAATTGTGGAGACCTTCATCCCGCAGCGAATTGACCACAGCTGATGGTGATCTATATTCGAGTGCATGGGTCTCTATGTGAGATGCCGACACCAGCGCATTCTAGTTTCTCAAAGAATCCACCAGCGTGCATTAGCATCACTCGAGAACGGAAAACCCGTGGGTGGAGTTTGTAGCCTCAACCTGTTGCCACGAACCGCTGCAGTTTCCTGCTCACCTTGGGACTTCTTTTATTTGTACAACTGGACAATCACAGGGTTTAATGACTCGCAGCTGGATTAAGGCAAGCAATAATTGAGTTATTTTTGTACTCTCTCTCTTCACACCGACGATCTCTGCTTCTCTTCTTGGCCTGCCTGCGCTGCCAACTTCCCCCCACCCCTCACCCCACCACCGCACCTCGCGAAAGACAAATCTTAGGTTATGGGAAAACCTGGGTTGGCTCGAATGTGCTCACTGCGCAAAGTAGGAAAGCAACCGAGAAGAGCAGTGGTGGTGGGGGGGGGGGGCGAGCGCTGTTTGTGTTGGCGGGGGCCGCCGCACCGCCGTCTGTGGAAACTGGGGGAGAGCTCCACCTGGCTGGATCTCACCGCGCCGCGTCGAGTTTCACAAACACGTGGGGACGCGGGGGGGGGGTAGAGGAGGAGTAGAGGAGGAGGAGGCAGGGCACGAGAAGAGTAACACAGGGACAATGGCCTCGCAAGGGGTAGGCGAGCGTCGAGGAAAGAGCGAAACGTCGTTGAGAAGAGGGGATAGAACGCACGCAGTGGGGAAGGGTTGTTATTGAGTGTGCAGGCGGTGCGACTGCACCGCGGGGCCTTACAGGCCAGAGGGGCCCAGGTGCCAGGGTATTCTGTGGACCAGCGCAGCGTGCCAGCCACGCCACGCCACTGACAGAGAGTGGTTGGGCAAAGAGAGACGGGGAAGGTGGGTGGCCGCAGAGAGGAGAGCGGTGATCGTCGAGAGGGGGAGTGGGGCAATTATGAAGACGAGGAGGCAGGGGGCATGGGGGATGCGGGAGGTGGCAACTGGCAAGGCAGGCACGAGGCGACAGAGGGGGGTGTCGTCTAGATGCAACGGCAGAGGATACCAACGGACGGTCCCGTGAATTAGACAACCAGGCAGTCAGCAATTCTAAATCATCTGAATAATACATATGGGGTGGTGTACTTTTAGTGTTAGTAAACACGGCTTATTTAGAGAAAAAAGTCAATTGCTTGACGAACACACAAAACTGAATGCACAATCACCATCCCCATGTGGATGCCGAAGTCAGTTCGTTTGATCAAGTGACTTCAATCTGAAGATAGCCCTGGACGGTTGACATAATGTCCAAGTAAAGAAAAACAATCGCTAATGATCACCCACATCTTGAGAGTGTCTGAAACGTGTTTTACCAAAATCGCGGACCCTGTACAAATTCAATGGTGAACAATGCAGGCGGGAGACGGAGTCAGGCAACAGACGACGACACTGAGTGCGGATGAGATTAGAAACAAGAGATGGGAAGAGACGGACAGAGAGCAAGCACGGGGTGGGGGGGGGGCTGGGTGTTTAGAAACGTGCGCTGAGAGTATTTGTCCGCTATGAATTTCCACGTGATGATGAACCACTTCGTCGAGCAATCATTTGTGGCCAGATCGCTTCTGAAAAATATCCGTACGTGGGCAATAAACAGAAAGTTTTGTTTAGGGTGGGAAGTGAGCAGTGGGGGTTTGGGGGGGTTGAGGGGGTGGGGAATAAAATCCCGGAGCGCAAAGTGGGCCCTGTGCATGGCGACTGCTCGCGGTCTGGGTCGGAGCGAATCGTCAGCGGAAAGCGGTAGCTCCTGGGCCAAGCACGGGGGGGGGGGGGGGGGGGGGGGGGCTGGCGGGTTCCGCAATCGTCGTGCGAGGAGCGGCGAGAGGAGAAGCGGCAGGCCCACCGGGGCCGCGCGCCGTCTAATCCCGGCGATGTTTTCCAACACGCGACGAGACCCGCTCTCCCAGCTCCAACAAAAACACTTCACTCGGCGGCGCTCCTCCTCCTCCTCCTACGCGCCCCGACGCGGCGGGCTCCGGCTAACCCTGCAATAACAACGTCAAGTGAGCGCCACGCGAGCACTGAGCGCTGCGTTTAAAATCACTTCGTCTTCATTCGTTTATCATTTTCAGCCCGTAAGCTTTCGCGACCACCGATTCTTAATGGATTTTTTTTGGGTTTGGCTCGCGCGGGTCAACCGTGTGTCGTGAACGCTCCGCCACCCGATGCAGCCGATTCATAATCTCACAAACATTCAAATGGTCGTGAGACTGCTCTCCAACACACACACACTGGTGTGCTGCTGAAGCAGGCTTTTATTGGCACGTTTGTTGACGGGACAACTTTCTTAATCGGCTGTGTCGGGTGGAGAAACGTTACACGACACGCATTACACTTAGGCGATGCGACCCCAAAAAAATCCCGTTATGAAGCAATGTTCAGCCCCTTTGTGAATTCAAGGCTGGACGAGGGCTCCTGTACACTGCGCTCGCAGGCCGTCGGGATTGCGTCACCAAACTTTGTCAAGCCGATGACGGCGATGCCTTCGCCACGCTGGTCACAGAGTGGGTTGGTGAAAACCACCAGCAGCAGTGTAGCGGTTAGTACGCCGTGTTACGAACCCCACGACTCGAGTTTGATTCCCAATTACGGCCAACACCAGTGACGATTATCTGAACTGGTCCTAGGCCTCCGCCCCTAGGTCGACTCAGCCTCAAATGACTACCTGGTGTGGCGAGGAGACAAAGGCGGCCGGGCGTGGTGTTGGCCACCCACCCCCTCCTGGGCCGTGCCAGTCTCAGTAGGTGCTCGCTAACAGCACTTGCCCCAACAGTCTGTTCAGGCTATACGGGGGATCTTTGGCTTATTTTTAAATCCTTTATATTAAGTTCACTTGCTTGCTTGCTTGCGCGCTTACGACCGTGCAAATCTTTCGGTCGTTTTTTAACCCACTTCCCGTGAGCCAATCGAGCTGACATTTTGCACACAGACTCGTTGTGCGTGACAATTTATTTTAGTGAATTTTTCCCCCCAAAATTTTACACTTTTTAGGATTTTTTTTTATATTTAATTACCAATTGCTTAATGGTGGCAGGCAATCATCTGACCCATAAGTGGCAGCCATCTCAAGCCAGAGGACGAGAGGACTCTAGCCGCCACGCATATAAAGGATTTATAGTGAAAAACTTTGTTTTTACGGGCTAATTTTTTAAGTCGTCGATTTGAATTCAAGAGACGCGAAAGTTAGAGTGGGTGGAGGGAGGGGGGCATGGGAGGGGCTGCAAAATCGGGTTCACATATCACTCACCACTGATGTCAGCCAAGGTGGCTGGGTTCACAGTGCAATTGCACTAACCGCTGCGTCACAAATCCTCCCACGCATAACTTATCGTGGAACTATATGGAAACCCACCATCGATCACCTTCACTCATTTTCACTCCGCAATAAAAGGCGACCTAATAATTACGTGCTGTGCGCACGCGAGGCCTTTGCGCCCGAGCGTTTCTGAGGATCGTAGAAACAATATATTCGGCGGTACACGTCATCTCGTAAGGCCTGCCACGAGGTAACTATTTAGCTCATTACACCATTTCATGCATTTTTGACGCTTGAGTCCAAACAAACTCGAGGCGAAAAAACAAGCCCACGCCGCCGTCGGTACTCTGCGCTCGCGAACAAGATGTACCGATGGGGTCGGCGAGACGGTCAGTACCAGGAAACCAGGAACGTTACCGTGTGGCTTAAATGAGGCTTCCCAGCAGTCGATCGCACGCACGCATGCACACGCACGCTTCCGATCGCGCGCGTGCACGCACTCGCGCACGCTCACGTAAATCTCTATTTTTTTCCCCTCGTCCTCTTCTGCCGTAATTTTCCCAAGGAAAAAAAAACTTTTCCGCGGAGCTGGTGGTCACCTGGGGGACAACCGGTGTGAAAAGCGAGACTCTGGTAATCGCTGCGTCAACACCGCTGCCGTGTCGCGCACAAAACGGGTTTGCCGCGAGTGCCATGGCCTGGGGTGGGTGAACCACGAGGCCTATCTCCGGCTCGGTTCCCTTCCCAATCCCTGGCACCCCCAGCAACTCTCAACATCGCCACCACGCACCCCACAGCAATGTCTAACCACGGCTGCATGAAGGTCTTCCCCATGCGGTGTCAGCAAATTAGGGTTGTTTGACTATACTACGTCACGCTGGTCATTGCATTTGATGAACCAGTTGAGATATCACTCGGTCACTGATGTTAGCCGCGACAGGGAATCGAACTCGGGTGGTCGGGTTCATAGTGCGGTGCGCGCTAACCACCGGGCTGGGGAATCACGAGACAAATGTGCGCGTATTAGGTCACAATTGTGAAAAGGGCTTTTTTATGCAATGCATTAAACTGCTACGCAGGAACATTCATATAAACTATAGAAGCCCAAACGATCTACGATCTTACACTGTGTGACTGTCGGCTTCTGCGCCACATTGTATCATTCTGTTACCATGGAAATAACGATAATTATGTACGAGCATCATCAGCCGCTGTCTCCATCCCCCGCTCCTTGCGCACGAGGCGACCTCATCGTTCCGTCACCGCTGCCCTCCTC